TCCCTTCCCCACAGGTGGGCCTGCTTCTCCACCTTCAGGATACTTCTTCCTCTGTAGAAATGCTGTCCGTATCTGTCTCCCTGCTGATTGGACTAGAACTTGCACTATTGTAAAGCTCTCTCCAGATTTTTTTTTTTTTTGAGTGAAAGAGAGCAGTAGTGGGGGTGTGGCCTGGCAGAGGAGAGGAAAGAGAATCCTCAGCAGATTCCATACCCAGTGCAGAGCCTGATGCAGGGGTTCAGTCTCATGACCCTGAGATCATGACCTGAGCTGAAATCAACACGCTTAACTGACTGTGCCTCCCAGGTGCCCCTCCAGGATATTTTTATTTTTAATATTTTTATTATTTGTTTTTTCTCCCAGATATTCTTATAGCCCCAAGGGCCATTCTAACGGCCCCCTTCCCTTAATTGGACACACCTCACCCCAAATGAAGTATGCTATTCACATAGTCCCCTTTCTCAGTGGCCTAGAGGTAACTGCAGGAATCAGCACTGGGGTGGGAGGTGTTGTAAACTCATCTACGGTCTATCATAATCTCTCTCTAGAGGTTGCAAAGGCCTAGAAATAATAGATAAATCTGTCCTAACTATACAAATTAGCCACCCCTGAACCAAGCCAACATGGCTTAGGTCTCCTAGCTGCAGACCCAGGGGGTATCTGTGCCGTGCTAAAGTGTTTCAAGAATTTTCTCCATTGGTGCCTGTGGTTCTTGGTAGACCTGACAGATGTTCTGCTGATGGGCCACAAAGCAAGGTTTATAGAGTGATAGCAAAGTGATAGTCCAAAGCTAGCAAGGAGGGAAGGGACCTGAAGGAGTCACTACTGGAATTTCTAAGTCTAGGGATTTTTATGAGCTTGTTGGTGGGCTGTTTTAATCTGATTAGCCCCTATCTCCCCCTCTCCCTGCCTGCCATCCAATCAGATTTTTGTCACCTCTCTATCCTTTGGGAAAGGGTGGAGGGCTCTTTCTACAGTGGATTAATCCCTTAATCCCTTTAAGGGTGGCTTTTTCTTTGGGTGGGGACCCCTTTTCCCTGCCTGCCTTCCAACTATCCTTCATCAAAAGGAGCAACATTGTTTTGGATCAATGAGGGCAAATACAAGAAAATGTCCATACTTGGATTCAACAGGACTCCCTCCAGGACCGTGCAACACAAGGATGGTTTTCCTGGAAAGAATCCTGGCTCGATTGACTCCTTCCCTTCTTAGGAGCCTTGGCCTCCATATTCATACTCCTGATTATTGGTTCCCCTGTCTTTAATCTCTTGGTTAAATTCGTCTCTTCTAGAATCCAACAGTTCCAAGTACAGATATTGGTGTGACAAGGATTCCAGCCCATCCCATCCCATCAGAGGGGCCCCTCCCCCTAAATCTCATGGCCCTGGCAGCCAAGGGATGTCACTCAAATCGCCTATCGGTGCGTTAAGCTGCTACCATGCACTACCATGACTGCACAGAACCCCTGACCGGCCTGCAAGTTTAGGGAGGGACGCTGCGCCCCTGCCCCCCACTGTTCACCAGGAAGCAGCTACTGCAGACGGCCACCCAAATGCCAAAGACCTGTCCTTGTCGATCTGTCTGGGGGGAATGCAGAGACCACTTTTAGGCCACAGACTTGAGCACTGGGAACCTGAGTGGGGTGGAAGGGCCCATAATGACCACCAGGCTGGATGCGAGCAGGTCTGTTAGGGGACCAGCCTCAAAACAGCCATAAGCCCAGGCTGACCAATGGGCTCCTTACACCTGGACACAGGTACCAAAAAAGGAAAATTCCATATGTTTCTATACCTCCTCACCTTCCCCCTTAACTCCAGCACTCCCTCACAACTGCCTCCTTGTGGACAGCCTCTCCCTTCTGTTCTGCCTGGGCTCTGTGTTGTTGGTCTGGGGGAATGGAGGCCCTGTGTTGTCGGTCTTGGGGGAGAGGAGGGCCCTGTATTGTTGGTCCGGAGAGCAAAGGCCCTCTGTCCTGTGCCACGGTGGTCTGGAGCGGAGTCTTTACCTCAGTGAACCAGAAGGAGGGTAAAGGGAGGGAGTGATCTTGGTTCAACTACCACAGACTCTCACCTTATTTATTATTTTTTTTAAACAAAAGTTTCATGTGTTCTTTTTTTTTTTAAGATTTTTTGTTTATTTGACAGAGAGAGGGAGATCACAGAGGCAGAGAGGCAGGCAGAGCGAGAGGGGCGGGGGAAGCAGGCTCCGTGCTGAGCAGAGAACCTGAGACGGGACTCAATCTCGGGACCCTGAGATCAGGATGTGAGCAGAAACTAAGATCCGGACACTTTACTGACTGTACTAGCGAGGCACTCCACGAAGAAAGAGTTCTTGAGTGAACAGGCTTCAGAAAACAATTTGATCCTTTCTCTCCCCTCTTTTGTTAAACTGTCCCTGACAGATGCTTCCCTCCCTGCCCAGAACCAAAACTCGGAGAGGTCCCTCAGATGTCTCTCATGCCTCCAGCTTGCCTCCTTGCAGTGTCAAGGGTATGGTCCCGTCTAATGACGACAGAACTCCAGCTTGCATTGAAAACTGCAGTTCCCTGAGCCCCGACCCCAGCTCCGGACCTGGAGGAATTAATTCTCTGTCCTCCGCTCCCGGTCTCAAGCTGCAATTTCTGACTGTCCTCCCCGTAGGACCAGCCCCAAGGGAGGTGGGTGTATCTGTCTCCTGTGGCTTCTGTACCACATCATCACAATTCAGTGGCTTTGACAATGTGAGATTATTCTCTGCAGTTGTGGAAGCCAGAAGTCCCAAATCAGTCTCACTGTCAAGGCATGGGCACCCTGGCTCCTTCTGGAACCTCCCGGGGAGAATCCGTGGTGGCCTCTCTCAGCTTCCAGAGCCGCTCCCCTCTCATCCCTTGGCTCGCGGCGCCTTCCTCCCTCTTCGAAGGCAGGAGTCCAAGCATCGGGCTTCGGTCACATGCCTGCTGCTTCTGCGTCGGATCTCCGTCCGTCTCCCTCTCAGAGGACACTCGAGGTCACACTGAGGGCGCCCCCTGGACAATCCAGGGTCCTCTCCCCATCTCAAGGTCCTTACCTTAGCCACATCTGTGAGGTCCCTTTGCCAGATGAGGGAACATTCACAGTGTCCAGGGATAAGGCCCTCGATGTCCTGGTACCACGAATCGGCCGGCCACAGGGATTAGGGCCTCTCTTAGGACAGAGAGTCACATGTGGCTGGTTCTGCTGTGGCTGGGCGTGGCTAGTGACCAGTGCTGATTTTTCTCCTCTTGTGGGTGGCCTTTGAGGGATTTCCCTGGGGACCCCAGCTATAATTCCCATCAGAGGCTTGATGCTGTTCCAGCTGCCGGATCTGATGCCCCTTCATTCTAGGCCCCACTAGCTACTGTCAGCTGGGGTGCCTGATGTCCCCAAGGGTCCTCTCAGTGAAGTCCCATTTGGGGGTCCTGTGTGGTCTCTGGGAACTGGGTCCATTTGAACTCCTGAATCTGTGCCTCACCCCCAGCCTGGCTCTCTTTGCTCAATCTGTGTGCTGCTCAGGCTCCAGGCCAAGGTCACGGGCAGCACTGGGGTCACGGCCCGGCCTGGCTCAGGTCTGCCCAGGCTTGACTCCCTGCCCTCAGCCCGGCCACATACTATCCGTGGGCCCTTTGGAGAGCCACTCACCTTTTTGTGTGTGTGACTTGGCACAGAATAAAGACTTTGAAAAATACCAAATAAGCCAGCCGGCTGGCCCCCCAAGCCCCAGGGGACATGCTCCGCTTCCTAAGAAGAATGCTGCCCACGCCTGCCTCTAGGCATCTCAGGCTTGGGGAGGGGGTGCCCCCCAACCCCTGGCTGCCCCATTCTGAGGCTTTGAAACCTCAGCTGAAACTGAGCCGGAAAGAGCCTTGTAACATCCTGTCACGCTGGGGTCTGGGCGGAAGACAGGGAGGGGCCTGGAGGGGAGACTGGCAAGGGGCTGTGGGGAGCTGGCCAAGCCCTAGGGGCTCTGGGGCAGGTCACGGCGTCTGCCGTGTTCCTCTTTTTGCCTCATGACTTTGTTTGTTTTGTTTTGTTTCGTTTTTAAAGATTTTATTTATTTATTTATTTGACAGCGAGAGAGACACAGCAAGAGAGGGAACACAAGCAGGGGGGAGTGGGAGAGGGAGAAGCAGGCTTCCCACCGATCAGGGAGCCCCATGCAGGGCTCGATCCCAGGACCCAGGGAATCACGATCTGAGCCAAAGGCGGACCCTTAACGACTGAACCACCCAGGTGCCCCTTGTTTTTTGTTTTTGTTTTTGTTTACATAAACCTTTTATTTTGAGCTAACTATAGTTTGCTCACATAGTTCACATAGAGCCTATCCACTTTCTACATAGAAAATTTCCAGCCTTCCGCAAAGCTGTAGGGAGGGCAAAGGACAGGCTTCGACCCTCCCCCGCGCTCACCAGTTCATATTTGCTTGAGTTCACGGTTTTTAATCTATTATCTGGAACTAGACAAACACACAGAGACATGAACGTAGAAATATGGACATACTCTGTCCACAAGGAAATATATTTCTTGAGACTCATCTAGAATGAGCTCTCTCTTTCATATCAACGTATGTAATGAGTTCATATAGGAGTGTATTTATACATTAGTGTGTATGTGTGTGCGTGTGTATGTGTGTGCATGTGTGCGTGTGTGTTTCTCCTCCCTAGCTCTGCGTTTCCCTCTAGTGTGTCTAGAAGCACTAACACTCTCAGCTAACACCAGCTCGATCCTGGTGTTAGGATCCTCTCCGAGGCGGCTGATTCCAGGCTGATGCAGAAGGCTTCGACAGGCCTGGAACATACTGGTCGAAGGGAAGTGCTCAGAGAATGACGGGCACTTGGCAGAAGGACAAGGAGGCAGCTTGAAAGGGGTCCCATGGGCCAAATCCGGGACGGTTTGAGCATCCCACATCAATCATCGTAGTAATGGATTCGAACCCATTGACGAAAACAGGAAGGCCAAATGTAACCACAGTGATATAAACAAAGGAGGAAAAACTCCTTTACAGAAAAAAAAAAAAAAAAACCAGCATGCTTTCTTTCACATTGAGCCATCCAGTTCCCATCCAACGCCACGGGGTTCTTCCTTGCTTTGCCTTTCCCGGTTTGTGTCTCCTTTCTTTCCCAGAAAGAACCAGGGTTTGGAGCAAGGCCACCGCATTTATCCACTGATGCTCTTTCCTGTAATACACAGTTGTTGCAGAATTGTTACCCTGATACCATGTCCCGTGACAAACCTACTAACGAGAGGTCAAGATTTATTGGCAGTTCTTTTTGACCTTAGGCTCTCAATCGCATGGAGGACGTCCAGTGTTTAAACCAGAAGAGGCACCTTTTGAATTGGGCTTTGAGGGATGCATAGGAGTCTCCTGGGAAGAGAAAGGGGAAGGTCACATATGTGCAGAGGGAAGGGGCATGAAAGAGCAGGGTGGAGCCCAGTGTGTGTTCACAGGGTGAGGGGATAACAAAGGTTGGATCTGGAGAGGAGTGCTGGTGGGTGGGGGTAGTGGCTTGGGAGAGCCTTGAATGTCAGGCAAGGAGCTGGGGTCGGGGAGGCAGGCCCTGGGGAGTCCTGAGAGGCATCAGAGTTCAGAAAACGTGGAGGGCAAGCCGGTGGGGGTGGCTGGGCCCATGAGACATATTGCCTGAGCTGCCAGGAAGGCTCTTGTTCTCTGCAAACCTCCGTATCTCATCTGTGACATGGGTGGAAGAGGGGACCCACTCCCGGGGCTCCCTGGGGACTCCCCAAGAGTCATACCTGGCCTTTGGGGGTCCGAGGTAGAGGCCTAGCTGCTCACAGGCTCGCCGTGCTCCGTGACATGTCAGCTTCCTGTTTCCCCTCCCTCAGGGGCAGCTTCAAAAGCCCAGCACGCTCTCAAAACAAAGGAAGACGGGTCCTCAGGTCCTCGACTGCAGAGGAAGCAGGAAGAGCCGACCCCGCTCGGAGCCCAGCTGCTGGGGCCTGGGGACAGCGGGATGGAGTCCGTGGCCCTGTACAGTTTCCAGGCCACGGAGAGTGATGAGCTCGCCTTCAACAAAGGGGACACGCTCAAGGTAGGGGAACTGGGCTGGGCTGGGCTGAGCTGGGAGGGTGTTAAGAATCAGGGGCCCAGGACACCCCCCCACCCCAGACCCCCAGACAGAGTCCAGCTTCTCCAGGTACTGGCTGTGTGATTCTGGACAAGCTACCTCCTCCCGCTGAGCCTCAGTGGCCCCATCTCGGAAATGGGGAGATAACTATGACCCGTCCTTCACGGGCGGGGGCGTGTTGTGAGGATTCAAGGAGACATTAGCATGGTGCCTGGCAGGAGTCTGTTCAACCCCAGGCCTCCCGGTTTTCCTGGGAAGAGTTTGAAAAGACAGTTGCAAAGAGGGAAGGAGGGAGGGATAGAAAAGCTTTCAGGATGGGGGCGTCTGGGTGGCTCAGTGGGTTAAAGCCTCTGCCTTCAGCTCAGGTCACAGTCCCAGGGTCCTGGGATCGAGCCCCACATCGTGCTCTCTGCTCCGCGGGGAGCCTGCTTCCCCTCTCCCTCTCTGCCTGCCTCTCTCCCTACTTGTGACCTCTGTCTGTCAAGTAAATAAATGAAATTTAAAAAAAAAAAAAAAAAAGCTTTCAGGATGAGGTGTACGCACTCTGCGGGGGTGGGGGGGAGATAAAAAGGTAGAGAAGGAGCTTCCCAGCAGCGTGAAGGAAAGGGCAAAGAAAGTCATACCACCAGTTGATTCTGGAACCTTTGTTCTGTCCCCGTGAGACTGAACAGCCTGGGTAGGGGTTCAGGAATGTGATGCTCCACAGGGGGAACCATGTCCACTTATGGAATCCCCTTCCTCTCTCTGCCAGGATGCCAGCACCTATGTCCACGTGAGTGGCTGGCTGGGCCTCCTGGGGACATGTGGCCGGTGGGGGACATGGGAGCCTTAGCACCAGCACTACCTGGTCAGGATAGGAGACATCCTGTGAGAGCTGGGTCTAGTTCAGAGACCTCACTGACTACTCTGAGAGCAGTTTTCAGATTCAGATTTGGGGCTCGGTGGGGAGTGGGAAAATGAAGAAATAGGAACGGGGTAGGGGTCGAGCTCCAGCTGGGGCTCAGAGTGACCGCTCAGTGGGAGGCTTGGGGGGATCAGTAGGGGTCCCCCAAGGCAACTGTGTAAAGAATACATCTCCACTTCCCTCCCAAATTCCTGCACCCATGCCCCCCCGCCAAGATGAGTCATGTTTCCCACTAACTTTTGGTAAAGCATTAGGCAACTCCCAGCACGTTTGCTTCTAACAGAGGTGCTCGCTAAGGAAGGAGTGAGCTCACGAGGCCTGGAACACACCTGAACACCTGGACGTAAAGCAGGGCCTGGCCCACAGTAGGCTTCTAATAAAACATGGGAAATGGGGATGCCTGGGTGGCTCAGTTGGTTGAACATCTGCCTTTGGCTCAGGTAATGATCCCAGGGTCCTGGGATCGAGCCCCGCACTGGGCTCCTTGCTCAGCAGGAAGACTGCTTCCCCCTCTCTACCTGCCCCTCCCCCACAATCTCTTTCTCTGACAAATAAATAAATAAAATCTTAAATAAAGCAAACAAACGTGGGGAATGTTGCAGAAGAGAAGAAAGGGCGGAATCATTAAAGTGTTAGCTGAAATGGGAGCATCCCTCACAGTGGGATTTGCATCTCGTGTCCACAGAGACCGGGGAGGGCTGGGGAGGGGACCCTTTAGGCTCAAAGAATGTTGGAGGAATGCCAGGCGGTGGGAAGACGTGCCTTTTTTTTTTTTTTTAAAGATTTTATTTATTCACTTGACAGAGATCACAAGGAGGCAGAGAGGCAGGCAGAGAGAGAGGAAGGGAAGCAGGCTCCCCGCTGAGCGGAGAGCCCGATGCGGGGCTCGATCCCAGGACCCTGAGATCATGACCCGAGCCAAAGGCAGAGACTTAACCCACTGAGCCACCCAGGCGCCCCAAGACCTGCCTTTTTCTTCCTTCCCTCCGCAAACATTTGTCAAGCTGTTGAGCACGTACCCTGTGCCAGGCGTTGTTCTAAGCACTGAGGCTATAACAAGGAACCAAGTAAAGTCTCTGCCCTCTGGGAGCTGACATTCCAGAGAGTAAGTGATGTAGGGCAGTGATGAATGGACTGAAGAAATCACACAGGGAGATGGGATGAGAGTGACGGTGAGTGGGAGGGGGCAGGGGGACAGGTTCAGATGGGGGGGTCAGGACAGTCTTTTGAAAGAGTTAAGACATAGGAGCCCCTGGCTGGCTCAGTCAATGGAGCATGAGACTCTTGATCTCAGGGTCATGAATTCAAGCCCTACACTGGGCACAGAGCTTACTTTAAAAAGAGAGAGAGAGAGAGAGAACACCTTAGCCGAGCCCTGAAGGATGAGCAGGAATCAGCCATGCAAAGAGCCGGGGGAAGAGAGCACCAGGTGCGGGGTGGAAAACAGCTGGTGCAAAGGCCCTGTGGTAGGACCATATTAGTGTGTTTGAAGAGTTGAAAGTTCTGTGGCTAAAGAGCAGTGAGTGAGAACGAGAGGGTAAGGATGATGTTGGGAGGCAGGCAGGCATCAGGGCCTGTGAAAGATTTGCATTTCATTCCAAATTTGAGGTATACTCACTGAAAGTTTTTACTGGAGGAAAAAATGTGATCAGATTTACATTTCCAAAAGATAACAGATTGACAGGAATGGAAGCAGAGAGGGACACTTGCAGTCTACTAGGTAAGAAATGAAGATGGCTAAACTAAGAAAAAAAGTCATGACAAAATATTAAGGTCCTTAATATGTAAAGAGCTCTTATAAATCAATAAGAAAATCACAAACAGTGTACTAGAAAAGTGGGCAAAGATATGAACGGGGAAATTGCCAAAGAAGCAATGTAAGCAAGTAAGTGCCCAATTTCACCAATAACAAAAACCATGCGACTAAAAGCAAGTAATTGTTTTCCATTTGCCAGATCAACAAAATTTTATTTTAAAAAGAATCTCCCAGGTTATTGAGGGTGTGGGAAAATGTGCACTTTTACAGGGGAGTGGTGGACACGTAAAGTGACACCGTCATTCTGCAGGGAACTTGGGGAACATATAAAAAGCCGTAAGACTCTCCATACCCTATGACCCAGAAATTCTGCCTCTGGGAAACTGAGATATGGTTAGAGATGGATGTGTGTTCTCTCACGGGGACTCAGGGAGAACTCAGTGTGTCCGTGGACCTCTGCTAGGTAGTGGCGACTCAGCAAGGAGAAAATGGACACAGTTACTGCTCAGGAAGCTGAGATTTTGGTGGCAGACGAGGGCCACAAACCAGATTAATAAGTAACATACAGAATTTGTCAGACAGAGACAGTGCATGGGGAAGAATAAAACAGGCGAGGGGTGGGGAATTGGGTGCAAGTTTGCAGTGTGAAATCAACCTAGACTGCCCACCTAGGGATGGTATCAAATATCATACAGCCCTGAAAATGCTATTTGGGGAGGGCATTTAATGGCATAAAAAATCTCATGATGCAATGGCAAAAAGCAGAATGCAAACGTATCCACAGGGAGGGTCAACTCTACACAGATAATCAATAGGTATTCATTTTGTGGAGAGATGAATTTTGTGGAAGGAAAATTGCCCATCGTGCACTGGATTTGTACCCCCAAGCCCAAAAAAGAACTTTCTAGAAAGAAATGATCTGAAAAACTAGCAGTGGTTGGTTTTGGGACGTGAGCCATGAGCTAGTCCCATTTTCTTTTTTTTTCTTTTCTTTTCTTTTTTTTAAGATTTTATTTATTGGACAGAGAGAGGGCACGAGTGGGGAGGAGAGGGAAAAGCAGGCTCCTTGCTCAGCAGGGAGCCTGATGCAGGGCTCGATCCCAGGACCCAGGGATCATGACCTGAGCCAAAGGCAGAGGCTTAACCTACTGAGCCACCCAGGTGCCCCTTACATTAACTTTTAAATAGACTTTAATTTTCAGAACAGTTTTAGATTTGAAGAAAAATTAAGGAGATACAGCACAAGGGGATTTGGACCCATCCGTCCCAGTGGGTAACATCTTACACGATGAGCACCCTACCTACCGTTGTTTCGTTAATGGATTGATCTTGATAGATTATTGTTAACTTATGAATGTAATCGGCTTTTGCATCGATTTGATTTTTTAAAAAGATTTTATTGATTTATTTGACAGTAGAGAGGCAGGCAGAGAGAGGGGGAAGCAGGCTCCCCGCTGAGCAGAGAGCCGGTTGTGGGGCTTGATCTCAGGACACTGAGATCATGACCTGAGCTGAAGGCAGAGGCTTAACTCACTGAGCCACTCAGGTGCTCCTGATTTGATTTTTTTTTAACATCTTGTCTTAAAATATTCTTTATCTTGATGCCTGAGTTTCTTGACGCCCCTTTAAATTTTGTCCCCGAGATGCTTCAGCCACCCCACTCCTGTGAAGCCCTCTTTCTGTATAACAGTAAAAACATGACTGGGATGTCATGCTGTGTCCCCTCTTCTCCCTGGCCAGGCTTCAGCGTGTGGGTCTGCTGGCCCCACTTTACCTGGCTGGGCTGGGCTGGGCTGGGGTCCGGTGAGGGGTTCCTCCTAGAGCCATCCAACTCATTCTTCAGGCGAGTGTTTCTCACGCACCCCCTGTAGGCCGGACCCTGTCACAGCAGGGCCTGCAGGCAGATCCCAGCCCACCGAAGCCCCCGTGGATCAATAAATCTGAGCTCTGATATTGGAGGAAGTCTAGGTGGCAGGTGCCCCCACTCTGGACAAATGGCTCCCAATGGACATATGGCTCTGGAACAAAGCATCCTCCCTGTCAGACCAGGGATCTCTGGGGACACAGTACCCCATTGCTCCCAGCTGGAGGAGGGATGTGGCTGGTGGCTTCACCTCCATCTCTCGGTGGATGACCTGGCCTCCAAGACCCAGACCCCGGGAGCCCACAGCCTCCTTGGCATCTCCAGAGGGAAGGCCAGTGGCACCTCTGACCCAGGGCAGTCGACCCTGAGCCCCCTAACCTGCTCCCCGGAGCCCTTCCCACAGTGGTTGATGGCCACCATTGCAGGTGCCAACCCCTGGACTTGTCCTGGCCGCGCCCTACCCGTCGTCTCATGCACAGCCCGTCGTTGAGCCCTGTCAGCGACTCTGCTGACACCTCTCCCGACCCTGACCACTTCTCCACACCCCCACCCATGCTGCCCGCCCCCTGGGGTCTCCCCAGCTCCCAGCCAGGCCAGGGCAGAAGCTCCCCGCCGCCCCCACTCCCAGCTGTCCCCATTCCCCCACAACAGCCATGACTCAGAGCCCGAGCCTCTCCTGATGCCCCTCTATGGCCTCTCTTGGCTTTTGAAGTAAGATCTCTCTCACCTGCTTCCCGCGGCCCACAAGACCTACATCCTCTCACCCTGCCCGCCTTCCTCACTTAACCTTACAGTGCTGCCCTCCCGCCTCAAGTCCAGGCACACTGGCCTCCTCTCTGTTCTGAGAACAGCTCCCACCTCAGGACCTTTGCACTGATTGTTGCCTCGGCCTTGGATACTGTTCCCCATATCTTCTCACATCCGGTTCTGTCCTATAAATTGGGCCTCAGTTCACACATCAGCTCCTCAGAGAGGACTTTCTTGACCACCCCATCTACCCTCTGTTGACAGTGCCCAGCCCTCAATCAATTTCAGAGCACTTACCACTACACTGAATTACCTGTGAACTGGTTTCCTTCCTTCTTTATTGTCTTCCTTTGCCCACCACCATGGAAGCTCCTTGTTCCCTGCTGTGTCCCTAGGACTTTGCACAGTGTCTGACACACCGTAGGTGCTCAGGGCATAGCTGAGAAGTGAATGCCTTGGCCAGGGAAGGGGGGTACTGGCGGGGGGTAGGACAGCCTCCCGGGTGGAGGGCGTGGTGGGAAAAAAGGCTTGGGGGCAGCCCAAGGTGTGGATTTCGCCTGGGGAGGAGCTGGTCCCTTTCCTTTGTGCAGATTCTCATGTCTCAGAGGGTTTTATAGCTTTTGAACCATGTGAACATTAACAATTCAGCTCCTGGGGCACCTGGGTGGCTCAGTTGGTTAAGCATCTCCCTTCGGCTCAGGTCACGATCCTAGAGTTTTGGGATCAGAGCCCCACCTCGGGCTTTGCTCCACAGGTGGTCTGCTTCTCCCGCTCCCTCTTCCTGCCACTCCCTCCCCTTGTTCTCTCTTTCTCTCTGTCTGTCAAATAAATATCATCTTTAAAAAAAAGAAAAAGAATTCCGTTCATGTGACCAATGAGAACATTTCTGGGTCCTCGGATCAGGATGGCAGGAAAACAAAACAAAATAAAACAAAACAAAGATTCTATTTGAGATAGGACATTCACACGGCCACCGGACTTTGTAGTTCCAAGACACTGCTGCATTCAGCATAGGCCATGAATGTGCCCATTTCACAGATGAAGAAACAGAGGGCAGGACTGTGGAAAGAGTCAGAAGGCAACAGACTAGGGTAGCCCCAGGGTCCCAGGCATCATCCTTGAACTCGTGTCCATGGAAGGCAGCTGACAGGTTTTAAGCGTCCTATTAAGTCGGAGAATTGTTTTGTTTTGTTTTCAGCAAAAGTTGTCCTGAGTAAGCCACCTGTTTCCGTCCACCCCCTCGGGGCTGTTGACCTTGCCCAGGCTGCACAGTCAGGAAGGAAGGAGCTCAACGGGGCCTGGCAGACAGATAAGGGGGTGCCTGTCTGCAAGGCCTGGGCCCAAGGCAGCAACTCTCAGCTCTTCCCGGCAAAATCGAACTAAGTTGATGGCTTTGCGTCCGCCTGCCCCCGGGCCTTTGCTCCTCCAATGCCCTCTCCTTGGGATGCTGTTGTATATCTGATTTTTGTTTTCCTTTCCCTCAACAAATACCCACTAGGATTGCGCCAATGTTGGCACCTGCTCTAAGACCTACAGGAGAGATGCTCCCCTGGCCTCGGGTCTGGACACAAGTGGGGAGTGGAGTGGGGTTAAAATTCCATGGGCCATGGTCTCCCCTAGAGCAGCTGAGTCAAGAAACCCAGACCCCAGGCTTCTGGCTTGCTGTACAGGCTCTGCCTCCTCTGGGCCTCACAAGCCTCATCTGCAGCCTTTGGTGATGAACTGTCCCATGTGGGAGGCTGGCCCAGGGGAAGGAGGAAGGAGCCCCAGGGTTCACGCTGCACCCACTCCCCAGGCCCGGCCCGTTCCTCCCTGTGGCCGCTTGCTCGCTCAGCCACGGCAACACTCACCCCCACTCGGCTGTTTCAGTTCCTCTCGGCCCACCTGTGGGGCTGTAGAGGCCTCACGCCATGGACAAGGGGCCCATGTGACTTGAGCAGGCCGGGCTGCAGCCTCATCATAGCCCAGAGGCCTCCCTTGTCTGCTCACTGCTGCCTGAATCCCCACCGACCCGAAATGACGCCCGTGAACTCAGATTATAGGGGCTGTTTAAAGGCAAGTGACCCCTGGTGAACCATCAGGAGGAGCCGAGCTCAGGCTGGGACTCCCCAGCCTCCCGGGGGACCTCAGACCACGCTCAGTGCGTGGCATACAGATGCTGCGGAGTCCCCATGCTCAGGGGGACAGCTCGGGAACTGAGGCACCCTGGGGTGCCTGCCCCCCAAGACTGCATGATCTGCCAGGGCTCTGGGGGGACAGATCCTGAGAGTCCAGCTCCAGCCCCCCCCCCCAAAGTTCAACCCACTGACCCACACTCTGGGTCCCCAACTGTCCAGCCTGGGGAGTCTGTGACCCTCCTGGGGACAGGCCTGTGACATCAGACTCGGCCCTTGTGAGCCTGGGCAGGTCCCCAGCCCTCCTCTGTGAAATGGGTCCTGGGACCCCCTACCTGGGGTCCCTGAACAACAGGACCTCAGCAGGTGGCAGCTGCCCGAGTGACAGTGTCTCTACTGCCCGCAGATCCTGAACATGGAAGACGACCAGAACTGGTATAAGGCTGAGCTCCGAGGCGCTGAGGGCTTTATTCCCAAGAATTACATCCGCGTCAAGCCTCACCCGTGAGTGGCTATATCTCTATCCTAAGTGCTCCCCAACCCCTGCAGCCAGTGTCCCCACGTGGCCTGGCCCAGGCTGAGCCAAGCTGCCTGAAAAGCTCGGTCCTGGTGCACCCCTTAGGCATGGACTCCTCGCCCTGCTTCCACTCCTCTGCCTGGAGCTCCCTGTCTTTACCCTGAGCAGGGGCAGGGGACAGAGATGGGAGTACCAGATGGTGGCAGAGTCAGGGCCGGTCCAGGCCACAACCCTGAGGATCTGCGACACCGGGGAACATCCAGGAGAGTCCTGGAGGGACAGGGCCCCTGACTCTGGGCTGGCTGGGCCGCTGGCTGCCGTGTGGTCACTCTGGGCCTCAGTTTCTCTATGTGTAACATAAGGAGGGCCGAGGCTTCAATCTGCAGAGGATTCTAGAGCTCTCTCTAAGAGGCTGGCTCAGCCTGTGTGAGGATGAGTGAGGGGGACAAGCGAGGGGCGACGGAGGGGCAGGCAAGGGAGGGAAGCAGATCCTGTAAGTCCTGCCTTTGGGGTTTGGAGGGGAGCTGAACACTAGCTGAGCAGACCAATGCCCTGGGACTGAGGCAGAGTGGGAGTCATGTGTGGGGCCTAGGGAAGCCCCCATCAGGATCACAGCAGGTGGCATCGCAGCCTGCCGCTCTGGGAATGGCTGGGGCGGAGCCCAGTCCCAGAACAGGCCCCAGTGGCCAAGAACCTATGGAAAAACCAACTAGATCTTCTTGAGATGCTGACGGAGGTAGTCTCTTACTCAGTCATTCATCAAACACTAGCCACCGCCCTGGGTTGGGGGGTCGCCCGGGTGATGCTGGAGACACAGGAGAAGCGGCTGGAGTTGGAACAGCCCTATCCCGGGGGAAAGACGGGATATAAAGAAAGTACAAGACGGGAACACAGTCAACCCTGAGGTCACTGGGGAAAGGTTCTCAGAAGAGTTAGCACCGAATGAGGTTTTGAAGGGTGAGTAGGAGTTAGCTAGGTAGAAAAGGAGAAAGGCATTCCTAGGAGAGGAGACAGGGAAGACGGTGAGGGCAAACCCATGGCAGTGGGACCACCAGGAAGGCCTCAAATGGCAGGCCTGGGGTGGTGGGGAGTGCAGAGATGGCTGAGCGGGGGAGGGACTCAGTTGAATGTGGACCATGACCCCGCCACGAGGCTGGAGCGGACAGGCCAGAGACCACGAGATGTGTGCCCGGGGGTGGGGGGGTTGGGGGGGTGGAGACAAGAGGCGCTGTGCCTGGGAGGGCCTGGGGGGGGTGTTTCCTCTTCATCTGTCTTCGAGTTATTTCCAAAGCCGCCCCCGCCTCCAGCTTCCTGTACTGGGGAAACCCCATCCCACCCGGGTCCCCGCTATGCCCCCGCCGGGGCTCCAGGCACAGAGGCCGCCGCCCCTAGCCGGTGTGCTGGGCTGCAGCTCCCAGATCCAGGCCCCGCAGCGGCCCGCTACGCCAAGTGACAGGGTCAGGGGTCTGCCCCTTTGGCCTTTTACAGCCTTTCTGTCAATAAAGGGAGGGCGCGAGCGGAGGGACATGGAGAGATGCCAGGAGCCCCTGGGAACAACCACAGGCGGAGTGACCCCCCGCAGTCCAACGGGGTGGGGGGGGGGCGGTGTCAGGAAGACCTGATATTTCCAGGGGCAGGAAGTGTCCCGGCCAAAGTCGGAAGCCCAGAAGTCCCAAAGCTGCTGGGAAGCCTTGAGCAGATGTCAGCACAAGGCCAGGACTTGGGCGCTGCTGGGGGTTGAGACGAGACTCCACCCATAGGAAGCCGTGGAGGGTCCCAGTGTCTGATCTCTTGGGGGTCCCTGGATCAGTTCTGGTCACTGGTGTCTGGGACAGAGCAGGGATAGAGCTCAGGCCCCCGACCAATCCATCAGAGGCCATGCCCGGGTGCCTTGTCCGCTAACCTCAGCTCCTGTCCGGTGCCCGGAAATAGCAAGGGGGATATCCAGTTTAGCATCTGACTCAGCCCATCAGGCCCCAGGGTGTGGGGTTGTGGGGGGAGAGCCGGAGTCCCAGAAGGCCTTACTTGGCCTACATCAGCCCCGCTCCTTCCCTGAGGACTCACTGTCTCCCCTGTCTGGCCAGGGAACCAGGTGCCCCAGAGACACCCACCCAACCGTGAGCCAGTGGGCGGCAGGGAGGGCTTCCCAGAAGAAGGGCATGGTTCACTGGGCCTGGGCGTTAGAGTAGAAGTTTGCCAGGGAGGGCCTGAGGGAGTGCTGCGGGAGAAGGGGTGTGAGCTAGTTCATGAGGGTCCCCAGTCTCCCGGGGCCCTGCAAGCTGGGTGCCACCATCACCATCTCATGGACAAGGAGACAGGCACAGAGAGGTTGAATAGCTCTTCCAGGCACACACAGCCGGCAAGAGTCTGCATGGGATTTGCAGCCCTGTGCTGTGGGTCCCCACCGCACCCCCCAGGTTGTGCCCACCAGACATGGGGAGGGGGTAGCCCTGGGGGAGGGCCTGAGGCTAGGAACCGGCTGGGCAACCTTTTGGGGGATCCCTGCCCTTCTCCGGGCCTCAGTTTCCACATCAGGGAAATGGGGGAGGATACGAGGTGGCCCTAAGAAGAGTTGGCACTGGCATGGCGGAGAGAGCCAGGGTTCAGGGAGCTTCTGGACATGTTGCTCCTGCCCTCTGTCCTTCAAGCCACCTGAGGACCAGCCCTGCCTTGTTCCGATGGGGGCAGGGCCGGCCGCCTCAGAGGGTGTGGTTGCAGAAGCCTTTGAGGGTGACGGGCGCCCACACACTGACGCCTCCTGTGGGGTTTTGTGGGTTCTTTGGAGACACCCAGGCCCTCAGGAAACGCCCACTTGGGGCCCCACTGGGCCCCTGCTCCTGTGTCCTGCTGGGGGCTCCCGGGTGGAGGAGCTCCCTTCCCCCAGCCCCCAGCTCAGCCTCTGTCCTAGAAGCTTCCATCCCAGCCTCCCGAACTCCAGGGACCTGGACTGAACTTTCCAGATGGTGGCCTTGAGCCCCCACACTCAGCAACCGTCTTTTACCGCCTCCCCTCCCAGGAAATCCATCATGAAACGGGCTCCGGGGTCCCCACGTCTGGGTGTCAGCTCCCCAGAACCAGGGCCTGAGACACAGTGTGAGGACAAGGACTTCATTTTGGAGTGGGAAGTGACCTGGGAAGGAGCCGGCCATTAGGGGTGTGTTAACAGGACAGCTGCTGCTGGCAGCGACAGGCACCGGGGATGGGGGCGAGAGCGCGCAGTCTCCCCAGAATGTTCCATCTGGGACAGGGGAGCTGAATGTTTACCCACCTGAGCCCTTCCACCCCTCCCCACTTGGTCATCACTTGATAGTGTTCTGGGGGCTCAGCCCACCCTGAGCACAGGCCTTTGTTAGTTACCAGATAAAAGCCCCAGGACAGAATCCCAGCATCCTCATTTGGCAGGTGACATGGTGGGGAGTGGGGACAGGGCAAGACACCGCGGGGTGCTCCCTGCACCTGTCGCCCCTGCCCTGGGCTTCAAGGGCTCAGCAACATCCTGAGACAACAGGAAAAAAGTCCCACCTCACATCCGCCCCCGGTGCCAAGCTCAGACGCAGGAAACATTTGCTGAAAGAGGGAAAGGAAGCCTTACAAGGAAGAGTCTCTAGACCCCGCCCCTGCTTGGCCATGGTGCCCCCATGTGACACTGACTGCTCTGGGCCTCAGTTTCCCCATCTGCACAATAAAGGGTCCAGTCAGAGACCACCTGGACTCTGTGAGGGGCGGCAAGACCCACAGAGGCTGGGGGGTTGCCTGGGCCACACAGCAAGATGGGCAGGACTGGCAGAGAAGCTGAGTCCCGGCCTTTCGTCCCCGGTCACGGGGCAGGGGGTGGACAGTGTGGGGTCTTACAAGGCTCTAAGCATTGCCAGGCGCTTCTGCATTCCCAGTTCTGTGTGGTCATCCAGATAAGGGACTTGTACCTGGGAGAAAAAAAATCCGGGTGGCCTCCGTTTGTGCATCCGTGAAATGGGTGCAGGGTGAGATCCTTCCTCATCAGACCAAAGCTACTATTGCTTTTGTCATCCATTTTTATGTTTGTTTGTTTGTTTGTTTTTCCACTTTTAAGAATCTATCATCTAAAACAGAAGAGCTCAGCTGGGGCTGGCTGGGTGGAGGTTCACTAAGGTTTGATTTCTTTCTTTTCCTAAGGGGATGTTTGCCTGGCATGGTGGGAAAGGCTTGGGCTTGGGAGCCAAAATGCTGGGATTGGGTCCCAGGTCCTGCCTGCGGCAGCGTGTAGCCTTGGGCCTGTCGCTTTGCATGTCTTTGCCTCAGCTTCCTCATCTGTGAAATGGGTGCAATCATCCCTCTCGTATCTCGGCACTGCTGTGAAGATCAGCCCCGCCGGTTACCTGGCACAAGGAGAAGTGGGCAGCCTGGCCTTCCCACTGCCCTCACCTGTCCCCTCTCTCTGCAGGTGGTACTCGGGCAGGATTTCCCGGCAGCTGGCAGAAGAGATTCTGATGAAGCGGAACCACCTGGGAGCCTTTCTGATCCGGGAGAGTGAGAGCTCCCCGGGGGAGTTCTCGGTCTCTGTGAAGTGAGTTCTGACCCCTGGGGGAGTGCAGAGGAGGGTGGGCAGGGAGGTGGCATTGGAGCTCAGCGTGGAAGCACAGGACATGGGCTCCCAGACGCTGGTGCAGGGAGTGGCATCCTTGGAGGAGGGGCAGCCGGAGCCTGGAAGCAGGTCGGGGAATGACATGCACCCCGGGGGGGTGGAAAGCAGGCTTGGGTCCACTGCGAGGTCTCAGGTGCCAGCATGAAGGGTCTGGCTGGTATTCTATGAACAGTGAGGAGCCATAGAGTACTCATCCTGAGGAGAGGAAGAAGGATGCCGGGGTTTGAGGTGACAGGAGCAACTGAGGGCAGGAGAGCACCAGACCCCCAGGGCAGGGGTCCAGGATGTGCTGCAGTCGGACGGGGTCAGGGTCCCGCCACATGGTGCCATAAATGGACTTAGGCACCCAGGCTGCTTGGGCCTGTATTCTTGTTCTGCCACTTCCTGGCTGTGTGACCTTGGGCAAGTCACTTAACCTCTCTGGGCCTGTTTCCTCTGATGTGAAATGAGTCATGACAAGGAATACATGAGTCAATGTATATATTTTTTGAGTCAATAGATGTAGAGTGATGAGAATAGTGCCCGGTTTTGAAGTGGGGTGGCCGTGCTGGAAGGGTGTGGCTTTGTGACAGGCAGCCCCTCGGGCATGACGTGGCAGCCTCTGGGCGGTGCGGAACCAAACCTAAAGGCCTTTAGGGAAATGGAGGGAAATGGAGGAACCCAGGCTGGAAAGTAGAAAACAGGAATTGGAGTCAGAGGGGAAGGGGTTTGGTCTCTGTCTTTCCTGTTCTCAGTGCCTGGAATAGTAGGGTGTAGAGGCAGAAATTCACGGATTATTTACTAAGCTTCATGTCATGGGCCAGCCTATTCTAGAGGCTGGGGAAATGCAGTGACAATTGCCCTTATGAATTTCTGTCCTAGTGGGGGAGACAGACAGTGAACAAGGCATCCAGCAGGAGTCAAGGTGGTCAGAGACGGTCGCTCTGAGGAGATGGCCTTTGAACAAAGATCTGAACCTGGAAGCAGAGGCTGCCCAGGTCTCCGGGAATGAGGATCTGGAAGGAGAGACTTCTAGGCAGACAGAACAGCAAATGCAAAGGCCCTGGGGTCTGCAGGATGCACTGGGGGTGCGCTGGCATCCACAGGAGGTGGCGTGATTGGAGCAGAGAAGCTGGGTGGAGAGAGGTGGGGGATCCTGACAAGGAGGTGGAGTTTTCCCTCCGAGCAATAGGGATCCACGGAGGGTCTGGAGCAGGGGGAGATGTGACTGGCTTCCATTTCTCAGCAGATCCCTCTGGCTGCTATGAGGAGGAGGGATGGTTGGCCAGTGAGGAGCCAGGCAGGAGATGATGGTATCTCGGACTCTGGTGGGGGCTGAAGGCATGAAAGTAGCCAGATCAGGGAGTGCCGTGGATCTGTGATGTCAGGGCCGACGTCATACCAACAGTTAGGGTCTCCGTGGGCAATGGGCACAGAGCCTGCACAAAGGAGGCGCTCACTGTCACAGACAGCGGTCTTGGGGTGGCAGGCTTGCAGCTGGAAGGAGGCACAGGTGCTTTACGCTGGAGCTTGACGGTGTGGCTGCTAAGAGTCCATTTCCTAGGATGGAGTTGGTCCACAGCCGATGGCTTGATTGTCCAAAGGATAAATGAACACAGGACCCCTTTGGTGGTTAATGCAGGGGCTGGGGGTGAGGAGGTAGGTCAGTGCCTTCCAGGCTCTTCCGGACCCTGGGTGAGCTCTGTGACCAGTGCGATGTGTGCTGGTCCTTTTCTGTTTCTGATGGTAGAGTGCGACCTGCATACCGGAGCGTCGTGTGGTGGTGAGCTCCCCATCTGGGCCTGGGGCACCCATGTAGAGCAGACTGCTGTGGTCAGGAAAGCTGCTGGTGTGGGGGGGGAGAGGTTGTAAAAATGATCCAACGTCATGAGAGGTCACCGCACTTACCTGATGCTCTCCAAACTCTGCATACAGCTGTGGGCTCTTTTCTCTTCCCTCCCCCAACGCCCACCTCGGGGGAACAGGCTGGTTACCCTAGGGGATGGGAATGGCTCTGGCCCTACTTTAGCCTGTATTTTCCCATCTTAAAAATGGGAGTACCATCAGTGTGCACGTGTGTGGGAGATGCTGTGAGTTCTTAGTCCTGACCCCACCCCTGCCCATGGTTGTGGACACCTGGAGTAACTCCCTTCCCCACTCCCCCCTCCCCATCACCTTCCCACCTCCACAGCCCAGCCCCCACTTCCCTCTTGGGTCCCTGCAAAAGCAGGAAATGGCAATTTTACATGTGCTGGCTGTCCAAGGGCCTGGTGGTCTGGGAATGGAGCCCACCAGGTGAGCTGGGCCAGCTCTGGGTGCTTCCAGGAATCCAAAGTCCAAGATCACCCAGCAAAGCAGGGGCACAGGGGAGTCACTGGGATAGCTTCTGCAGCCCTAGCTGAGGGGAGGTGGTTGCCCTCCCAACCAGCCCCCAACAGCCCCCCCCCATCCCCCTCCCTCCTCTGCTAACAGATCCCGATGCCTGAACTTCCAGCATTAAGACCCTGTGCACTGCCCTCTTCTGGCGCTTCTGGGTAAATGCAGCCCCGCCCGCGCACACGCAGAGCTTCCGACCCAAACATCTCAACCTACTGTGTGTGTGTGTGTCTGTGTGTGTGTGTGTGTCTGTGTCTGTGTGTGTCTGTGTGTGTGTGTGAGCGAGCGCCACAGAACAGAACAGGGAAAGGAGTCAAACCAAGTGTTTGAGTGGAAGAGTAGACATGGCCTGGCCCAGGGTCTCCACAATGAATGAATAAATAAGGGGAATTCAGTGACAGGAGACACCGACACCTGGTGAAGGAGGCGACATCTGAGCTGGGCCCTGAAGCCTGAGTAGGAGTTTGGTGCACAAAGATTGGAGACGGAATGCAGGCACAGGGACCAACATGGGCAAAACATGGGCAAAGGTCCGGAGTTGGGACAGTGGGGGGTGGTGTGGATAGCAACAAGTTTGACCAGGAGGGGCGACGGGACTTCATAGGATGCAGTGAGCGTTGGTGAGCAGGGGAGCCAGCACCAATGTCCTGGGAAGAGGTCTGGGCGTGTCCTTCAGAGAAATACTGGCTCATGCCCCTTGGTGCCTCCCCCAAGGTATCCTGCCTGGCCAAGCCCCCCAGCCAAGTTCAGAACCCGCTAGAGCTTCCTGGCCTCAGCTAGCTGTAGTTTGTGCACAGCGCCACCAGGTGGCAGCCTCCACCGTTGGTTTCGTCCCAGTGGAGCCAGGGCTCCTACTTAGGTCCTGCTCCCATTCTTGGTCCATTGTCTCTCAGGAAGGTGTTTCAGTGGCCCTTGGAAGATCACTGGGCAGGGATTAGAGTAGGAAACAGACTCAGAGGGCGTATATGGCTACGAGTGTAGGCTTTTGAGCAAGAATCTCAGCTCTGATACCTCCTACCTGCCTAACCCTGGGCAAATTACCTTCTGAGACTCAGTTTCCTCATCTACAAAATGGACATCCGTGTCAAGTGCTTAGCATGCCGCCTAGCACATGGTAAGTGCTCCGAAAATGCCAAGTGATAGTAGTTATCATTATATTTCCCTGTAAGGGCCACACGGTGCCTCCCAGCCCCCTGTCCCACAAATCCAGGGTTCTTCTGAAACGGGCAGTGACACGGAGTGGCAGGGGACCCAGTTCTCGTCCTGACTTTACTCAGAACTTGCTGCAAGGCAGATCCTGGCTTTCTTTTGGCAGTAATGTTTTCATCCACAATGTGGAGGCAGTAACCCCAGGTGTCACAAAGTCCGGGGACCCAGTGGCCATCCAGAAAAGTGACAGCTGTGCAGATTCATGTGTGAGATTTCCGCCCTCGCTGACTTGGCTTTTGGGGACTCTGACCCCACAACACATGGCATCTCCCACATGTTCATGCCAAACCCCATAAGGCTGTTAGAGGTGGGGTTTATGGGCCTCGGACTGCCTCATGAAGGATAGTGGCCATGCTGGCTGCCTTTTACGTGGTTACAGAGGGCTCTATCCTCTCCAGCTGCAGGGGCACATCTGAGCACACAGCCAGCAGACCGGGGACCAAGGCTGGGGCACAGTGCCTGGGCTGTGTGACTTTTGCCCCATGTTTCCATCCAGGCTCTTCTGCTGTGAATGGCGGCTGGTTCCCCAGTGCCTTTCAGGCCAGAGGTGCCCTGAAGTCAATGCACGTGTGTTTGCTCTGGCCACAGAGTACCTACTGTGCACCAGACCTTGTCCCAGGTGCTGCAGATGCAGCCATGAACAAAATAGGACCAAGCTCCCTGTCCTTTAAGAATTCGTTTCCACTGGGGTGACAGACAAGAAACAATTAGCAGATTATAGGAAATCTTGGGAGATGATAAAGGCTCTTGGGGAAATGAAGCAGGACAGAGGAAGTGGCAGAAGGTGGAGGGCACTCCATTAGGCAGGCAGACGCCGAGAGGGAGAGGAAGCCATCCCCAGAAGCCTGGGTGGCAGGAAGCTATAGCTCAGAGAGGTGCAGAAACTTACCCAAGGTCACACAGCAAGGAAAAACAGAGCAAGGACCCATGACCTTCTGTGCCTGGGCAGACCTCTTCTACCTTCCATCCTTGTTTCCTGAGTCCTGACGACCCATGGGTCCCTGCCAAGGTCACTTTGATCCTATTCACACCTGCTGCACTCCTAAGTATCCCTTCCCCCCATTCCAGCTGTTGTCACAGTTGGGAAAGCAGAGGTTAGAAGTGCCATGCCTCATGGAGATCACCCCGTGGACAGTTAGCACACAGGCCTCCGCCCAGGAGGGCCCACCATAGGCCCTAGCTGGGGCAGTCCTGGGCCTCCTGACCTTACCCCAGCCTTCTTTATCCTCCCTGCGCTGTCACTGTCCCCTTAGCTGCCGTGGCCGTCACCACCAGGCCAGAAAAACCTGCTGGGCAGGACAGGCTGCTGCTAGCATCGTGCCTCACTTGGTCCTTGAGGGACAGCCCAGAGGCCAGGCCCATCCCCTCTGCCCCTGGGTAGGTGGCTGTGGGGGTCACACACAGAGACAAACACACCCACGGCTGTGAAGAAAGGGACCCACAGGTGTTGTCATTGTGGCAGAGCAGAGAGAGAGAGGACCCCCAACACACACACACACACACACACTCAGACAGACACATGGGGCACACAGGCCAGGACACACACATGAACCTCCCAGGCACTGGCCCGCTGTCAGGGACTAGCTCCCCTCTCCTGGCCTCGCCCAGGCTTCGACCCCTATCCTGGCTGCCCTTTCCTTCTCCAGCTCAGGAGGGCTCACCCAGCAGGGTGTCAAGGGTCATCTGGACACAGATATGGGTCCCACTCTGTGCCCTGTAGCTCCCCAGGGCCTGGGGGTGAGGATTTGAGGTATGGAGAGCCCACAGAGGGTCTAAGGGTCTCTCAGACCACCAGCCTTGAAGGATGGCTAAGGCCAAGACTAGGCAGAGTGAAGGGACAGCCCTCCTGGGAAAATCACAAGTACGGGCCCCATGAGGCCGCAGATCAGCTGGCTGGAGGTGGGTGGCTGTCCCAGATGCTGAGTCCTTAGGGTCGTCCATGGAGATGGCCCTGCTTGGCCTCAGACAGGTGCGGTCACTGATCAGAAGGGGCCCCGCCCAGGTTCCACGCAGAGCAGCATCCCCAGCATGGCCGATCCTGGCTGTGGGCAGGCCTCTCTTCTCTGGGCCCCACTCTCCTCACTGTAGGACAGGATGCTGGGACCAGGTGGGAGAAGGGACAAGACCTGCCGTTTAGAGCACTGATATGTACCACACACAGGCAAGGGGCCTGGACCGTGCAAGCTTCTCCAATGTGAGAATTCTCCAATTCTCAGGTTGGAAGGTTCTAGAAGTCCTGGGTCCCTTGCTCCTTCCCTGCCTCATCTCCGGTTCTCTACTCGCTGATCCTCCTGTGCGAGCAGGGAATACTTCATTCTGGCTCACTTTCCAGGTGGTCACGTGGGGGCTGAGATCTCCTTCACAAACCTACAACGGATCTCTCTGCCCCTTTACCCGAAGGGGAGGGGCCGCCCATGCCCCAGGCTCCTCCCTGGGGACCGCCTGGAGTCAGAGCCTTCTGCCTCTGCACTGGATGTCTGAGACGCGGAGTCCTTGGGGTCCCTGGTTTCCCCGCTTCTCACTTGCACAGCCTTTGGTTGAGAGACACTCCTCCCCGTGCACCCGCGCCAAAGTCTAGGGGCTGGGGCCGCCCTGATCTTGCTGGGACAGGGCACCCAGGAGCCACTGGGCTCAGAGGTGCCTCAAGGAAAGTGAGTGACCTCTGGGAGGCTGTGGCAGGCCAGACAGGGCAGGAAGCACCCTCCGCCTGCCCGCCCTAGTTCCGTCCCAGGAACACAGACCTGCGTGTCCCCTGGCTCACAGCGGCAGCCGCTTAGTCACCTGGGAACAATGCTTGCTGACAGCACATGAGTGGCTTTGTCTCAGGTTTGGGATCTTTTCTCAACTTGGTCCCAGAGCCTCCTGGGGTGGGGGAACTGGCTCCCTTTGGAGCTAAGCTGCCCTGAGATCTGGACATGTCTTAGAGGGTCAGGTCTATTTCAGGACCCCTGGAGGGCTGGATCACAGCTCAGAGCAAACAGGAGAGGGTTTTCAGGAACAAACCACCCTGATGAGCACTTAAAGCCTTGGGCCATGACTCTGCATTCCCCAAGTCCAGCCTTTCCCAACCGGGCTAGACCCTCAGGGCGTAGTCCTGCCTCCCTACCTTTTCCGTGCAAGCCATTAAGAGAAGTGGGTTGGAAGGAGAAGGCTGTATGAGGGTCTGAGAAACCCAAGAAGACCTCTGCCTCTGAGCTGGGCCATTTTACCTGGGCTTTGAAGTATGAGTAGGAGTTTAACTGGAGAAGAATTTAGAGAGAATCATGTATGCAAAGGCCTGGAAAAGAGATATGTTTGAGTGGAGAGAGAGGGGTTCTATGTGGTTTGGACCCCTTAACACGGGAACCCGGGCTGCGGGCAAATCCTGGCTTATAAAACAAGATTTAAACTTAGAACCCAGGAGGTGCTTTTGCCTTTTTACTATCAAGTCTCCACACCACTGTTTGGTTCTCACTTGGTCTTTCACAGAATGAGAGCACAGCCTGTGGCTCAGGTGGCCAAGGGGCCAGCGCATGCCCAGTGGCCCGCCTGTGTCCCCAGCACACATGCGTTGCCACACCCACTAGCCCCAGGCTTCCTGGGCTCTCGCCTCCCTAAACCAGCTTCTTCCTACTGGGAGCTGAGTGTTCTCCCTGCAGCTGCCAGACGTCTCCCCCTCACCCCTTCCTTGGGGAGGTGAGGACACTGAGGCCCAGGTAAGCTGACCAGAGACAGGAAGGATGGTTGTGAGTTGACCAGGCACAGAGGCTGAGAGAGGGAAGGGCTCCTGGGGACCACAGCCCAGGGAGTAGTCCTGGACTTGGGATGACAAGGTCTAGCACATTATCAATACCACAACTGGAATAATTATTCTTCCTATTGTTATACGGTGAGAACAGGGGAGTGTGCTAGAATGACACTTGACATGAGGCCCCAGCTCTGGCTTTGCTGCCATGTGACCCTGGGAAGGTCATGGTTTGCACTTGGAATGTCAGTTTTCCCACTGTACAAAGGCCCCGATTTGCACCTCCTGGGCCATGCGGTGGGCCCCGGCCACTTCTGGAGCAGTGAGGGGAATCATAGTGGTTTGTGCTGCCCTTTGTCAGAACCCATGCCGGCACCACCTCGGGTCCCAATCCGTCGTGGCCTGTCCTGGCATGGGACATGAGGCATGTGGGAAGAGAGTGTATGAAGTGTATGAAGGAAAATGAGGCTGGGCACATAACTGGAGCCAGATCTTGAGTCCAAGGTGTTAAGATTTTATCCGGAGAGCAATGGGGAGCCATAGATGGTTCTTGAGGTAGGGGGCAGGAAGAGACATGAAGCGCCCAATAAACGGGCAGGCTTTGTCTGAGTCAGGATGGCCTTAGGACTCATTCCTCAGGGGGGACTGCGAGGCCCGGTAGAGGGATGGGGAGAATGTCACGGCTGGGGGAGAGGAGGAACTGTCTGACCACCTCCTTCTCAGAGGAACCCATTTAGAGCCGTCAATCAACCATAAGCAGCATTTTCTGAACACTTATCCAGAAGGGAGTCACTACCATTATGAAGAAGCTGAGGTTTAGAGAAGTTCAGTGATTTGCCCAAGGTCGCACAGCGGCCAAGGGGTCTGTTCCAGCGCCCACACCGTAATTCCACACTCCACAGCCGAGGGGGAGTCACTAGGTCTCCCATCCGGGCCAGGTCAGCGGGCCCAGGCCCTGTCCTTTCTCCCACCCGCAGGTGGCACCGGGAGCCAGAGCGGCCAGCTTCCCGGTGAGGGTGAGGAGGGAGGCCCGGAGTGGGGGGCGGGGGGCGGGGGGGGGGGAGTGCTGTGCGAGCAGGGACAGCCCCCCACCCTCCCGGCGACCCGGCTCAGGCGGCTCCTCTCCCCCAGCTACGGCGACCAGGTGCAGCATTTCAAGGTGCTACGCGAGGCCTCTGGGAAGTACTTCCTGTGGGAAGAGAAGTTCAACTCCCTGAACGAGCTGGTGGATTTCTACCGCACCACCACCATCGCCAAGCAGCGCCAGGTCTTCCTGCGGGACGAGGAGACCCCGCTCAAGGTAGGCGGGCGGGCGGCTCCGCGGGGGCGGAGACACCTGCCGGGGCGGGGCGTGGGCGTGGCCTCCCTTCCTTTCCTGCAGCCCCGCGTCGGGAGAGGGGGCCAGCCCAGACTCTGAAGTCCTATCCTGGGGGCGCCGCGGGAGGACAAGCAAGGGTGGAAACGCAGAGGGAAAGGGAAGGAGCAGAGTGGACATTGCAGGGGGCACCCCGTGTCTGGCTTGTGCTCAGGTACCGGCGTCGTGCGTGGTCACAGGTCCTCCGTGCCTTCTGAATGCACGAGGGTACTGACACCCTGCCGACCCTCCTGAGTCCGCTGGGGGCCTCATCGTCGCCATTGTACGATTGAAGAAACTGAGGCTCGCCCAGGACCACCTGTGGGGTTGGCTCCGTCCCAGTTTCTGCCCCCAGGAGCCGGCCTTGGGTGGGGTTGGGGGCAGTGTGAGGAGAGTTCGTGGGCGACGTGCTGGCCGGGCTCAGGGTGTGATTAGAATGATGACAGCAGCCAACGGGGTTATTAGCCCCGACAAGTGCTGTTTTCTTCAGGAGGGGGATGTCGGCTAGGCCTGGGGCTAGAGGTCAGGACCCTAGGACTGCCCACATGAGCTTGGGCTCTGCAGAGGGTCCAGAGTGCAAATCCTGGGGAGGGGATGCAGGGCTGCCCCAGAGAGGCTCTAGTCCTGCCTGTTCCTAGACCCCCAGCACGTGTGACCTCAGGGTCAGTTCAGTCAACTGGGCCTCAGTTTCCCCACTGTCCAATATAATGAGCCCTAGGATCTCATGTGCCAGGAGAGTCAAAGCATGCTTTGGGAGACCCCCCATTAATGCCCTCTCTGTGCCCCCAGCATGTTTGGCCTCCTCAGCCCGTGGGGGCTGGGTTAGCTGTGAGCTCGCAATCTTAGCAAACTGTTCCCCTGCTAGGCCTCTGTCCCCGATCTCCATCCTCTCCCCTCCACTGCCTGGGCCAGATCTGCCCCTGGAGAATGTGACAGAGTCCGATAGGCTGGCCAGGGGCGGGGGGCCGGCGTGGGAGTGGGGGAGGCGGCTCTGCCTGAGGGCTCCCCACGCCCACTGCTTTCCTCCAGCCTAGGCTCTGGGGTCACCCACCCTGTGGGATCACTCCAGAACTGGCTCAGTCCCCTAGGACCCATGCTACCGCCTCCTCTTTCCTGGGCAGAGAACCGCTCATTAGAGCCCGTCTGCTGATCCTATCACCCATCCTGGATAAGATTCCACAGGCTCAGGACAGAGATCCTGGTGGGACAGGCAGGGCGGGGACACTGGGTGTAATCGTCACGGCGCCAGGCCGACGTGCCTGCAGAGAGCTTTGTCCCGCTGCTATTTGCAGTTTGGGGAAACTGAGTCCTACAAGGGCAGAGTCTTATCCCAGGTCGCCTTGGGGTGTAGATAGGGCAAGAACCCAGGCCTGAGAACTGGGAGCAGCTGTGGGCGACATGCTCTCCCAAAGCCCGGTGAAGGGCAACAGCAGTCAACTCCGTTCTCAGCTGCCGGCACTTTACAGTTTGTAGGGCCTGCTCCTGGGACCAGACAGTCCTGGGGCTCCATGCAGACACAGTCTCTGCGCTGCAGACATTCAGGGACAGGCAGCTGGGGGCTCATGGGGTTGGGGGGCCATCTATCTGCATCTGGAGTGAGAAACGAATTCAAGTTCAATTCTGCCCTCCCCCGCCTGAAGCCAATCACTTCTCTTGTTGGGGCCTCCTGAAAATTCCCCACTAACCACCTCCTCCCCGCACAGGCCCCCCAGGCCTGCTTTGCCCAGGCCCAGTTTGACTTCTCGGCCCAGGACTCCTCACAGCTCAGCTTCCACCGCGGGGACATCATCGAGGTCCTGGAGCACCTTGACCCCCACTGGTGGCGGGGCCGGTTGTGCGGACGCATTGGGTTCTTCCCTCGGAGCTACGTCCAGCCGGTGCAGCTGTGACCGGGGTGCGGCCCGGGGGCGGGGGCAGAGCCTGCAGTCCATCCATCCACGAGATACTGAGCTCTGGAGAGAAGACGTGGACGCCCCGTCCCTGGGTCCCACGGGGCTCAGCCGAGGGTCTTGGACCAGAACGTGGGCCTCGTCACTGCCGGGCCCGGGCGCCCGCCGCTTTGCACAAACTGGGACAGGTCCCGAGGCCCAAGAGCCACTGTGATATTCGGTACCCACCAGGCAAGGTGAGCTCCCAGGGCTTCCCACTGGCCTCTTCCCATTGGCCACCAGCTGCAGGGTGCCCTGGGGCAGGGGTGCAGAAGCGCCCCAACCTCCCACCATCAATGGCCCCAAACTCAGGGAGACTTGAGGACTCCTATGTTGCAGGAATTTGGGGGCTCTGCCCAAGGAACCATGCATATGCTGGATGGGTTCAAATTGGGTTGACCATCTGCTGGGCCTGTCTGCCCCCCCAAAATGGCCCTTGAGGGGTGCTGGCTACTGGGAAACTGGCTTTGTGAGGAGGGATAGGACAGGGGCTGCACACCTGTTAATCTGGACGATGGAATGACAACAGGTGGAGACTGACTTCTCGGCAGCCCGATGAAACTTGGGGTTCCACTTGGGTGTCCCACACCCCTGCCCCACTGTGGATACTTCGTAGAGGCACTGCAGGCCCACAGGAGGTGTGCAGTGATGGACACAGAGGGAGCTGCTCCTCTCCTGCAGCCCCGACACGACGGACAAGCTTCACGGGGCAGGCCTGGGGCGTGGACCCTCGGAGGATCTGCCCGCCCTGGCTCTTGTTCACCTGGGTCCAAGTTCTGCACAGACTGGGGCCCTGGAACTTAGGGAAACCACAGGCCACAGGTGGGAAACCACAGGTGGGAAGTCAGGGCCGAGGCTGGACTGGGAGTTCTCACATCTGGAGTGGTTCCCTGGCTTGAGGAGCCGAGGCTGGACTGGGAGTTCTCACATCTGGAGTGGTTCCCTGGCTTGAGGAAAGGCACAGAACGTGCAACCAGCAGCAGGAGCGAGGGCCACCTGCCTGGGGTCTCGGCACCTTTGGGACTCAGAAAGCGCTTTGGATGCCAGGCTGGTGGTGGAAGGGGCAGTGAGAGGGGAGGGAGGGAGAAGTAGATCTCATGGCAGCAGGGAGCAGGGGGGATGGGGGCAAGAGCCCAGGGAGGGGGCCATAGGCTTGTCCTCTGCCCTGGGCTGGCCAGCAACCAAGTCGATCAAGTCCGGAGCTGCTCCTGATCCGGGCCTGTGTTTTCAAAATAAAAACAGTAAAACGAGTATCAGGCTATTCAACACAGATCTAATTTTCGTTGCCATTAGGAGGACTACTTTGCGCGATTCTTGAAATATCACGTTCTTTCTGTTCGTTGAGCCCCTACTTTTCCGGGGCTCCTGCTTTGCTGGCTCAGCCAGTCCCTGCATGCTGACCGGCCATGGAGTCGTGAGGGGAGTCCACACCTCTCTGGGCCTCAGTGTCCTCGTTAGTGAAAGCGAGGGGGACCTGAGGACTCCAAGGGCTTGGGCTTCCTGCCCCCAGGGCGAGTGTCAGGCAAAGTAGGCGTAGAAGAAGATATTGACACAGATGAGCAGGATGGCATTGAAGCCACATACACGGGCCCAGAAGGCGTGCTTCTGGGGTATCCGGCCATCGCCTGGAGGAGGGGCGTGGAGGAGAGAGACAGATGAAGGCCCCAGGGCCACACCCAGTGCCCCCCACCTCCTGGACTCTTTGGGTTGGGGGTCAGGGTCAGAGCCTAGGGTCACACACGCACCTGCTTTGGCTCCCATGAGTACATCCCGAGCCAGGGTCCACCAGGTAAGGTTCTCAATCTGGAGAGAATAATCGGGATGGGGGTGTGGCAGGACAGGGCTGGGCCCAGACAGGGGCAGGGGTCAGGGATGGAAAGTGAGCAGCTGAGTTCTAAAAGGGACAGGGGTCAAGAGCTAGAAAATTCCAGAGTCGCAGAGGGTCAGGGGTCAGAAGGGGAACCGGAGTCAAAGTTTGTTAAAGGTCAGGGGTCACGGTCAGGGGCTGGGGTTAGGCTCACCTGAGCCCCATGGGGGGGTGGCGTCAGCAGGCTCCCGGCCACCACCACGACTCCACTGAGCAAAAAGAGTGCGACGGCAAAGTGCAGGTAGTGGATACTGCCAAGGATGGCCGGCCGCGTGTCCGGGTCTCCGCAGGGGGGCGCAGGGTGCAGGAATTCCAGGACCAGCCTTGTGGCGCCCACTGCCAGCCCCACCATGAGGCCCCAGAAGGCCCCCTGGGAAAGAGGAGGCAGGGCAGGTGCATGGTGACGGGGAGGCCAGGGGGAGAGGTGTTGGGGGAGACAGGAAGCAAGCACAGCTTGTCCACGGGAAGAGAACGGAGCCTGTCCCCCAACGTCCCATCTGCAGCTCTAGCTCTCCCCATTCCCCACCTACCTGCTCATTGGCGCGTGGCCAGAAGATGCCCAGAACAAAGACAGCGGTCACCGGGGGGGCCAGGGAGCTGGTCACCGACTGCATGTAGATGAACAGCTGCCCACTGTTGGAGTCTTGCAGGACGGGGATCCAGGCCACACTCACGCCGATGAGCACCACGATGACCAACCTGTGGGCAAGCAGCGTGTGCGCTCGACCCTCAAGCCCCTTCCTCAATTCTCCCCCATCTCCCGGGATCACTAAGACTTCCTCTCCAGCTGCCCCCTGCCACCCCTGCTCCAGCCACCACCACACACACCGCCGCCGCCTGGCTCCTCTGGGGAGGTGGCCAGCCCCACCCTTACCCAAACCCTCTGTGTCTTCCTGCCGCCCGCAGGTACAGCCCCCAATGCAGCCTCTCTGCTCCTTCTTGTCCCTGGGGAGGGCCCCCCAGGTCCCCACCAGGCTCTCCCCTTTGTCCTCAAGCTCTCGTCCCACTTGCTTACCGTCTATCTCCCCTTCTGGGCTGGACGCACCAGCCCCTCGCACACAGTAGGTGCTCAGTAAACATTTGTCAGTTTCAAGAATGACCTGCAGCCCCCATATACCAGCGAAACTCTCCCCTTGGCAGTTTCTCTAACACTGGTGGGATCTGGCAGGAGTGGGGCCTGTGGGGGGCACACGCCTCATCATGCCAGTAGCCCGGGCCTGCTGACCTGTGCCCATTGCAGGGTGACCTCTGTCCTAAGAGGGCAAGGGCTGGGGCCAGGTGTCTGGGTCTGGGTTTGGTTGGGATGTGGACTCCTCTGCCCTGAAGCCTGAGACCTCTGACCAGAGGAGCTCCTTTGCCTCCCTACCCTGTGGGGACTCTTTCTGGCTCTTGCTGGCCTCCCCTCTAGGTGGGAGCCCTCCGCCACAGCGACACGCTACCCACAGTCAACGGCCACCCATTGGGAGCCCCCCTCCCCGGCCCCGAGTGCAGAGCACTGGGCCAGAAGCCCGGACTCAGTGACAAGTGGGCCCTGGTCCCTTCCCAGCACTGAGAGTGGAGCAAAGAAAGCAGATGAGCCCGTTACCCTGTGGTAAGGACAGGGCTGAGGGGGACCCAGAGGAAGCATTAACCCAGGAGGGCTTCTAGGCAGAGAAGGACCTCCTATAGTCTTTTTTCTTTTCTTTTTTTTTTTAAGATTTTATTTATTTATTTGACAGAGAACAAGCAGAGGGAGAGGGAGAATCAGGCTTCCCGCCAAGCGGGGAGCCCCATGAGGGGCTCGATCCCAGGACCCTGGGACTATGACCTGAGCCAAACGCAGATGCCTAATGACTGAGCCATTCAGGTGCCCCAGACCTCCTCCAGCTAAGGAGACAGAGCTGGAGTGAGGTGTCCCATCTGTTCCTCCTCAGCTGAGTACCCTTCACCCCTGTGTCCTGGCTCACCTGGACACCGCTCACCCCAAGATGGGAGATGGGCAAGGCCCCCTGGACCCTGGATAGGAAGCAAGGGCGAGAGAGGCCCAGTGTGCTGCTGGGGTGGGTCCTTCCTGTCTGCTTACCCTCCCGCCTCCCTTTCTTCCCTTCCAAGCCTGAGGGCGAGGGCGGGAGGGGAGGAGGTGTCTCCTTGATTAAGGCTTAATTAACCCTTAGCCTGGCAGGCGGGCGGGCACTGCCCTCTTCAAAGGCCTAGGCGGGCTCCATTAACACCAGGCCCACCCCGCCCTCCCCACGCGGGCTCCTGCGTCCAACACTGGACTCAGCATCTCTGTGCAGGGCCTGGTCTCTCCAGAGAGGCCCAGACTGGGGCCCTTGCCTTCCCGCTGCCCTCTAGGGCTTCCCACTTCCAGAGGGACCCCAAGCCCAGAGGCTGTTCCTTCTGCCTAGAATACCATTCTCCAACTCCTCCCCTGGCTGACCCCCTCTTCCTCCAAGACTCAGCTCAAGGCCCTCCTCCTTCAGGAAGCCTTCCAACCCATCCCTTCCCATGCACGCACATTGCCATCAGACCACCATCCCTGGGCTGCAGCTGTGGTTGCAAGCGAGCCACTCAAGGGCTCCAGGTGGGGGCTTTGAGATCTCCTGGGCCCCCTATATTGTTCAGCTCAATGCAGGACACCAGGCAGGCATCAGGCACTATTTGTGGACCGAATAATAGACAGAAGGTAGACAGAAGAGGGTAGCAAGGGAGGGATATAAAGGAGCAGAAGGGCCAGGCAGAAGGGCCTGGCAAAGATCAGGGCCCCAGATGTGGGACTGTCACCTCCCCCAGGCCTGCGACAGCTCCTCTAGCCTCACCCCAACCTAATGAGCCTGTCAGGGTCATTGGCATGCCCCTGCCTGTCCCTGCCCCGTGCTGACCTCCTCCCCAGGCCTCTGGACATGCTCTGCGGCCCCTTTCTCTGTAAGTCCCATATCCCCTTGGATCAAGACTCCAGAGACACAGGACCCCACACAATCCAGGAAACACAGCTTAAATAGTGTTGTTGTAGACAAGAGGAGGCTGGAGGTGTTGGGTGAGAGATGTCCCAGTTTTTTGAGAGGGAGACACATTAGAGCTGAACCCTGGGCTGGCACCTAGCCTTGGATCCTTTCCAACTGCACCAAACTGGCAGCTGAGAGATCAGGGACCCAGAGAGGGTGAGAAAGCTGCCCCACATCACACAGCTGCGTGCTCACAGCCAGGCTGGCAGGGTCTGGGTTGGGTGGGGCTTGACTTGGTCAGAGAGGTGGGAAGGAGGATCAAGGGCCCTGTGGCTGGGAGTAGAGGGGAGTCCAGTTTAGGACTTTGGTCTCAGGTGGGAGCAGGAGAGAAGCCTGCTTCCGAGGAGGCCGGGAGGTAGGGGACTCTCAGGTGTCAGGTCCCAGGATGTGAGCCTGGAAGGACTGTGGAGGAGTCTGTCCGACAAGGGCGTGCTTCCAGGGCCACACAGCCACGGAGGAGGGGCGGGGGAACCACACAGCGGGGAGAAGAGGTCAAGGGGCCAGGACCCGCTGACACAGAAGCCTCCCGCCAGGCAAGAGGGAGAGGCTCCTTGTTTTGGAGGAGGCAGTGAGCCCGCAGATGAGCTCACACTCGCCTGCTGAGTGGCGTGTCCCGACAGGGCCCTTCTGGAAGAGGCTCGGCTGTTTTGCATCCCTGGGACCAGTGCCTGGAGCTCCGGGAGAGACCCCGCCCTGAGGATGGGCGCCTAGGGCCGGGAGCCCAAGGCTGCCCTGTTGGTCGAGCTAGGCACGGGAGGCTGGGCCCCTTGACCTGCGGAGAGGGGGGCTGCATGGGCCTGGAGGGAGATGGGTGAGTGGGACCTAGGAGAGGACCCAAGCAGACACGCACATGCGCACACTGAGATGCCAACCTCCCGTCACCCACTGCGGAGTTCACCCCAAAGGACTCCCTGGTACTCTGCCGACACAGCCCCAGCCCGTCCTTGTGGGAGCGGGGGGTGTGAAGGGAGGCATCAGGGAGACATGTGTGCTGTGGGAGGATTCTGATGATGATCCCCTGTGGGAGCCTTAGAGGGGAGAGGGGCCCATTCCTTGGTCGGGGGCTATCAGGGAGGGCTACGTGCGCAGTCTAGAAAGATCGTGGGGTGAGTCACTGAGGTGATAAGGAGGGGACAAGCAGGACTAGGAGGAAACGGCAGAAGCTCAGGAGGGCCAGGGACAGCTGTGGCCTGAGTGGGGCCCCCCTGAGAACAGGCTCTGGGCCCCCTCTCTCAGGAGGGCTAAGGGCTCAGATTGGGGGAAGACAGATCTCTGGGATGGCTGGGGAAGGGGGCCTCTCCCCAGCAGAGATGCCCTCAGATGAAGCTTAAAGAAAGAGATACATCAAAGATGAGGGCTGTGACCAGGAAGGGGTGACCAGAGCCACGTGGGAGGGGGATGGACTTTTCTCCAACCTGCCAACCCCAACTCACCCCTCAAAGACCCCCTCTGGGAGGGCCTCCTGGGCCATCCCTCACGTGGCTGGGGAAGCCCATGTCCCAGCCTGTCCCCGGGGCCTGGCACCCCCCCCCCACTCCCACCCCAACCACCATACCGGCCCACCAGCAGCAGTTCCCGCTCGCCGGCGCGGGGCCTCAGCCGCCTCCAGATGTCCATGGTGAAGAGTGTGCTGCTACTGTTGAAGATGGATGTCAGCGACGACATGAGCGCGGCCATCATCACTGCGATCATCAGCCCCCGCAGACCTGGGGGCAGGGACGGGGCTGCTGTGACCCTGCCCGGGAGCCCCTCCTGCCTGCGTCCTCCTGTCTGAGGCCCCATGGTCAGCAGCGAGCATTCACAGGTCCTCAAGAGCAGAGGCCCAGGAGGAAGGAGGCTGGAGGTGTTCACGGGAGAAAGGGCCAGACACGAGAGGCCTGAGGCCAAGAGCAATTGCGGGGCAGGGGTGGGGAGGTGCGGGGCAGGGGTGGAGAGGTGGGGGGGGCGGCGGAGAGGGGGTACTTCTGGATTTGTGGCTGGAGCCTGTGGCTTGCAGGCCCTATTGTCACAACTGGGATGGCTTCTGCTATCCTGGGTGCACTCGGAGCTCCCCGTCTCTGCGGAGCTTTGCAGGTGACAAAGCACTTTCACACCCAGGCCTTTACTTGATGGAAGTATTATTAACCCGTTGACAGACGAGGAAGTGGAAGCTCCTAGCGGGAGGAGAGGTGCCCAGGGACTCACAGTGGCCAGAGGCAAAGGTGGGGTGGGGACAGGAAGGCCTGGGGCGGGACCCTATGCTGAGAGGTCACAACCCCGGGCAGGGCGAGGTGGCCTGTGTGTGGCAGGCCCCAGCAGGCAGAGGGGGTCCCCTTTCTTGTTGGAAAAGGTGATGCGGTTGGTTCCCCAGGAGAGAGAGAAAAACCCACACAGGGATTGGCTGAAAATGAAGGAGGGGTCCCCATCGGGGTGGAGGAGGGTCTGCTTTGCAAAGCCTTCTGGGAGTCGTGGGCTTGAGAGGGGATGAGGGTCGGGAGCCCTGAGAGACAGAAGGAGGCTCAATTTCCAACTGAGTGCTGTGTGGCATCAGGCTGGTCAGCTCCCCTCTCTGAGCCTCAGTCTGATTGTATCTCCAAGGCCTCTTGTGCTTTTTCTTCAAGGGTCTAAGCACCTCCCCTCCATCCATGCAGATTCTCTCTGTCTGTCCTCTACCCCCTGCCCTAGTTTAAACCTGACTGAGGGTCCCCTCCCCTGAGGGCTCAGCCGCCCTGGTGCTATTTTTGCCTGGCCTTGGTTCTGTGTCTGACCGGCTGTGTGACTTCCAGGCCTCCCGTGGCCCTCTCTGTTCACTTATTGTGCTGATTGGGCTGGGGCCAAAGAAAAGTGAGTTAGATCATGGTTTTCCCCCAAAACGTTTCTCCATCCTGTTTCTCTTGCTCAGGGAGGTGGATTAACTTGGGGTTTATTCTCCACCCACATTTCAGACAGGGAGCTCAAGGCCTAGAGAGAGGTTATGGCCCAGCAACGGCTGCATGTCAGCACTTGGGGGCTTAGCGAACTCCCCCCACCCCCAGAACAGAAAAGGAAGGTGAGGCCCAGAGGTGGGAACCCACAGCGAGGCCAAGCCTTGTGCCAGGCGGTGTCCTGGCGTTATTACGTTTAATCCCAGCAACAACACGCTGAGGGGTGGGTAGGCGTCATTATCTCACATTTACAAATGAGGACAATGAAGCTTCAAGCAGAAGTGACACGCCCCAAATATCTCAGCCAGTGAGCTGTGATTCGATCCCAGCTCTGTGAACTCACATCCCCTGGGCCTCCACGTCCCAGGAGGGAGGGAAAGCAGGGCAGGGCCACGAAGCTCCTGGAGGGGAAGCCACAGGGAGGGAAGGAGACTCAGGGTCTGGGAATCTGGAGGGGAAACCAGGTCTCAGAAGGCTATCTCCTCTTTTCACTCTGCTGGACAAGGAATGTGGGAAAGTCCAAAACCCGCCCCCTAGTTCTACTTATAGGTGGAGGCAAAGGTGTGGGGCTTATGGGAGCCCGAGCTCCTGATCCTAGCAGAGTCGGCAGTGGGTTTGGGGCCAGACAGACTGGGGTTCGTGTCTCAGCCACTCTGTCATCATGGAGGAGTCGCTTTCCCCACTCTGTGCCTCAGTTTCCCTATCTGTAAAATGGAGCTGACTACCTCACAGCTGGCGGTGGGAAGCAGGTTGACCTCACTCAGGGGATAGGACAGCAGGGGGGAAGAGGACAAGCCCTGGAGGCAGATTATCTGGGCTGAGAACCCAGCTCTGGGGCTCATTGGCCGCGTGACCTTGGGCAGGCCCCGGCAACCTCTCTGGTCTCAGTTCCCCGTCTCCAACATGGGGATGATGATAGCAGCCCTTAGGGTTCTCGAGGCGATGGAAGGTATTCCCATGAAAAGTCTTAGGATCCTGTGCGGCCCATGGCGGGGGCCCAAGGGAGTATTTTCCCGCATTATTACATTCCTCTCCTCCCTGATGAGTGACATCCCACTTGGATGTCACATTGGATCCAGAATGGCCTCCACAGTGCCCCTTCCACCCACCCGGTCCCTTAGCCTTGCCGGTCTCCCCCCCATCCCCCACTTCCACCCCACACCCTGCCCTGACCCCTCCCAGAGTCTCACCTATGGGCATCAGCTCCATGACCAGCTTGGGGTAGGCGATGTTGGAGCAGCCGATCTCGGCCCCACAGGCCCGCAGGCACTCGGACGGCACCACGCAGCCCACGTCATCTGCATCAGAGGGATGCCCAGTATATCCCAGCGGGCCCATCCCGCCCTTCCCACAGCCGCGAGCACCTGGGGCCAGCAAGACCCCAGCCCGGCGGGGCCCTGTGCTGTCACCATCTCTGACCAGGAGCTACGTGGTCCTGGGTCCATTTCCCAGTTTGGGTCATGAGGAGGGGGTTGGCCTCAGAGCCGTTCTGGCCCCTAAACCCTTGACTCTTTTTTCCTGCCCGGTGCCCTCCATCATAACGTCGTCTCCCTGTCCCAGACCAGGCCAGGGGGCTCACCTGTGGTGTGGCATTGCCCATGTGAGCAGTCTGCTGTTAGAAGCCATCTGGGGTGCTGGTCTCCCTCACCCCCCCTCCGGCCCCCATCCCTCCTCCCTGGAGGAGCAAAGGCAGTCTAGAGGGGCACCTTCCCCAACCCCTGGGCTCAGAGATTTAGGCTGAGGCCTGTCCCCCTAACACCGCCCCCCCAAAGCCATCTCCAGCAGCTCCTACAGGACCCGAAAAACACAGGGGAGCCCAATCACACCCTGGTCAGAATTCTCCAATAGTTCTGCTGTCCGCAAGACCCTCCCGTCGTCGAGACAGAGGCTGGGCTCCTCCAGACTTGTCCCCTTCCTTGCCCCCCACCCCCTGCACCTTCCTCCAGCCACACGGGCCTCCCTGTCCCCTGAGGTCTTCCCCACAAGCCCCTCTGCCCAGGCCTTCCAGGGGGGACCGGCTCAGAAGTGACTCTTGGGTCCATCCCCTGACCCCCCGCCCCTCAGCATTTTTCCTCATCTCTTTGCTCGGGACCACTGGGGCCTGCTGATTTGTTTCTTCCTATTCTCGGTGGGCATGAGTGGCGAGCTGGTAAGAAGGGGACGGTCTCACCGTGGCCATCTCCCCAAAGGCAGGAGGGGCACACACCGCTCATCTGTGGGTGAGTGCCTGGACTGAGCCCTACATCCAGGACTCCCTAGCAAGCCCCCTCCCGCAGAGCCCTGTTGGGGGGCAGGAAGCGGGGGCCCCACTCCCAGAGCTTGCCCACAGCAGCTGGCCTCCCCAGCATGGTGTGGGAAGGGTGGGCAGCCCCCGTTCACGTGCTCCTCCCACCAAATACTCCTCATCTCCCTGTGGCCCCTGTCCCTCGGGATTTTCAGCAGGGGGCCCACAGATGCGGAGCAAAAGAGAGGAGGGGGACAGCAGGGGAAGATCAGAAAGAGACACAGCTGGACCAGCGCTCCAGGGGGAAGGGAAGCCAGTGTGGGGGCTTATATTTCCATCAGGCAGCGGGCAGTGGCATTCCCGCCGAAGACCAGGCACTCCCAAGTTCACCACGGTCCCCTCCAAATGACTCTACTGAAAATTCCTTCCATGGATGTCCAACCCATGGCAGTCTCAGATCCCCTTCCTCCAGGCTAGCAAGGCTGGGGAAGCACCCCCCATCCTCAAGGACCTGGCACACCTCTTGCATCCAGGCACCTGCGGCGTCTGCTGCCAGTCATTTGCCTGGTAATGGCTCACTGTCCTTTCTCCTCCCCTCCCATTACCCAGCCCCCTAGACCCCAGCCCCTTGGCTTCTCCTGCCACATCCCTGTCTGCTTCACTTGGCTCCTGCCCTGCTCCTGGGAACCAGCCCCTCCCCGCCTCCTTCCAAGCTCCCCATCCTTGCAAAATTACACCTCTGCTCACACTACTTCCTTCTCAGAAGCCCCCCTCCCCCAAATTCGCAGAGCCCCTTTCCACGGCCTTTCAGGTCCTTGTCAACTGGTCCCAGGTCCTCCCACCCAGCGTGCGTGCGTCAGCCACCTCAACTGGCTGCTGTTTTCTCATACACACCCAGCATTTGGCCGCCTCCAGGCCTTTGCAGACGAGGTCCCCTCCTCCCAGGACTCCGTCCTACCCTTGTTTACCTCCTGCTCCCTGGCCCATTGCAAAGGGCTGGTCCTCTGAGGCTTTCTCTGACTCCCTCTGCACCTCCCCGCCCCCCAAGCAGGCAAAGCAGCTTCCTCTCAAAGGCTCCTATGGTGGAGGATTGAATCATGATAGTCTCTTTGTGGATTTCACCTCCCCCCACCAGACTGGGAGCTTCCCCAGGGCGGACACTGGGTTTGAATCATCTCCAGGTCCCAGGTATCACTCAGTTCAGGGCTGGGAACATTTGTGAATGAATGAGTGAGTAATGAAGTGAATGGTGGTAGAGAAGGAGGCAGGCACTGGAGGAGAGCAGGAGGAGGAGGAGGAGAAAGGATGCCAGAAAAGAGTCATGAAAAGGTCCAGGCACTGCTTGATCCAGCGGCAGCCCAGCAGTGGGCTAGAACCCTTGGGACCAAAAGGGCATAACTTGCCTGGGACACACAGTGGGACCCAGGTCAAGCCCCAGGCCCCATGGTGGGACTTTGGGGTGGGGGGTGGGGTGGGCACTGGGGTCCAGCATACAGAGGGCAGGTGACGGGCCACTCCTGACAGGTTCTGGGCCTGGACTGGCCGGCTCTGATGCCCAGACCCAGCCCTCCTGGGAGAGACGGGTGAGGAGTCACAGCCACATAATGGCTCAGAAAGCCCGAGTCAGGAGATTCTGGCCCAGTTTTTTCAGCCCATTCTAGGCTCTGGGCATGGGCCTCTGCCTCTGGGCACTGCTGGCTCGCTTGCCTGAGTTTGTGCTGAACAGCAAGAAAGAACAACCTCTCCTTTATGACAGCAGCAGAGGTGTCGCCATTAAAGTCCCCTGAATGTGCCACCTTCAGCAGTGAGCAGCCTCAGGACAGTGAAGGCCTGGAGGGGGGGCGGGTATGCTTCTGAGCTGGGCAAGGATCAAGCTTCTGTGGGCCTGGGGGCTCCCCAGCTGGGCTCGAATTTTGCATTGGCACCTCTGTCCAGCCAGGGCCGTACCAGAAGCCTGGGTGCTGGCCCTCTCTTCCTCCCTGATGTCCTCCCTCCCTGTGGCCAATACCAAGTCCAGCCACTGGGCTTGGGGACCAGGTGAATTGCATCACCTCCTTACTGTATCGTCTTGCCCCCTCTAACCCAGCCTTCTTGCACACAGCAGAGGGACTTTCTAAAACCACCCGTCTGCTTACCCTCCTTCCTGCTCACACACTTCTTTGGCTCTCCATCCCCTGCAAGAAGTATCACAAGCCTCTAAATGTGCCATTCATGGCCCCCTACCCACTTAGCCAGTTTTAGCCACACCTCTGTTTGCTGTTCCCTCTCTCGGGAATACCCTTCCCTCCATACACTCAGGGAAATCATAGGCGTTCAGACTCTCAACCTGTGGATGTTTGTGCAGGCTTTAGGCAATATCCTCGGGGCATCATTAACTCTGTGACCTGTGACAGCCTCTGCCAGTGTCTGTTGATAGACTGAATGACCCTTTCCCAAGGCGGCCACTGGACATAAGATCTTGAGGGCTAATCAAGTTGCTCCCCACTCCCTAACCAGCCCCAGCCCATCCCAGGGAGAAAGTCCAGATGTAGATGTTGTAGTAAGGAGTAGGAGAAAAACACACAGACCTGGGTTTAAGTCCCACTATCCCAACACCATACTGTGTGATCTTGGGTGATTATTTAAGTTCTCTGAGGCTGTTCTTCCCCCATAAAATCCTTCTGGGGGACATCCAGGGACCAAAACTCAACCTCAACCTAAATGTTCCACCTGACACAAAATTAATTCACAATAGATCACAGATTTAAATGTGAGATGTAAAAACTATCAAACATTTGGGTGGGGAATTAAAGAAAATCTTCAGGACCTAGGGCTAGGCAAAGAGTTCAAAGACTTGACAGCAAAAGCACTATGCATAAGAGAAAAAAATGGATTAAGTAAACCTCAACAAAATTAAAAGTTCAGTGTGAGACACCTGTGAAAAGGATGAAAAGAAAAGCTACAGGACAAAATCAGTAAAGTTGCAGGATACAGGTTCACTATACAAAGATCAGTTGTGTTTCTATAGACTAAGAATGAACCATCAGGAAGAATAATTAAGAAAACAATACCATTTGTGATGGCATCAAAAATAATAAAATACCTAGGAATAAATTTAACCAAGGAGGTGAAAGACCAGTACAATGAAAATTATAAGACACTAATTAAAGAAGTTGAAGATGACACAAATAAAAAGAAAGATATACCATGTTCATGGATTAGAAAAATTCATGTTGTTAAATGTCCATACCACTGAAAGTCATCTGCAGATTCAATGCAGTCCCTATCAAAATTCCAATAGCATTTTTGACACAAATAGAAAAAATATCCTAAAAATTTGTATAGAACCACAAAACAACCCAAATAGCCAAAGCACTCTTAAGAAAGAAGAGAAAAACTGGAGACATCACACCCCCCTGATTTTAAACTATATTACAAAGCTATAGTAATCAAAACCATATAGTACTGGCACAAAAACAGACACATAGATCAATAGAACACAATAGAGACCACAGAAATAACCCCACAACTATATATTGTCAATTAATTTAGGACAAAGGATTTAAGAATATACAATGGGTAAAAGATGGTCTCTTCAATAAATGGTGTTGGGAAACAGGACAGCTACATGCAAAAGAATGAAACTGGGCTACCATCTCAAACCATTCTTAAAAACCAACACAAAATGGACTAGGGATTTGAATGTAAAACTCCTAGAAAAAAACATGGGAGGGGTGGTAGCTCCTTGACATTGATCTTGGCAATGATTTTTTTTTTAATTTGACACCAAAAGAAAAAAAAGGGGGCGGGGCTACAACAGATTAAAAAGCTTCTGCACCGCAAAGGAAATCATCAACAAAACGAGAAGGCAACCTACAGATTGGGAAGAAATATTTGCAAGCCAAAAAACTGATAAGAGATTAATAGTCAAAATATATAAAGAACTCATACAACTCAATAGCAACCCCCCAAAAAAAAGAACCTCAAAACAAAATCCAATTAAAAAGTGGGCAGAAGATCTGAATAGACATTTTTTCCAAAGGAAACATACAAATGGCCAATGGGTACATGAAAAATGTGCTCAAAATCACTAGTCATCAGGGCTATGCAAACCAAAACCACAATGAAATATCGCCCCACACATGTTAGAATGGCTATCATAAAAAAAAAAAAAGAGAGAGAGAGAGATAGAGAGAGAAAGAGATCACATGTATTGGCCAGGATGTAGAGAAAAGGGAATTCCTTTTGTGCATGTAGGTGTGCTACTGGTAAGAACCTAGATCAGTGCAGCTACTATGAAAAACAGTACAGAGTTTTCTCAAAGAACTAAAAATAGAACTACCATTTGATCCAGCAATGCCACATCTGAGTATATATCTTAAGGAAATGAAATCACTACTTTGAAGAAATGTCTGTACTCCATGTTCATTGACGCATTCGTCACAATAGCTGAGACATGGAAATAACCTCAAGGGTCCATCAACAGATGAGTGGATAAAGATATGACGTATACACACACACACACACACACACAAATATTATTCAGCCCTGAGAAAGAAGAAAATCCTACCATTTGTGACAACATTGGTGGACCATTATGGGCATTATACTAGATGAAGTAAGTCAGTGAGAGAAAGACAAATACTACATGATCTCACTTATAAATAGAATCCAAGAAAGTTGAAGTCAGAAAAAGAGAGTAGAATGATGGGGCTGTGGGATGGAGGAAAAGAAATGATCTTAGTCAAAGGGTACAAACTTCCAATTATAAGATGAATAAATCCTGGAGATCTAATGTACAGCATAGTGATTATAATTAATAATATTGTATTTTATATATCTATATATTTTAAGATTTTATTTATTCATTTTACAGAGAGAGACACAGCGAGAGAGGGAACATAAGCAGGGGAGTGGGAGAGGGAGAAGCAGGCTTCATGCCAAGCAGGGAGCCTGATGCGGGGCTTGATCCCAGGAACCTGGGATCATGACCTGAGCTGAAGGCAGTTGCTTAACCAACTGAGCCACCCAGGTGCCCCTGTATTTTATATTTTTTAAAAAAGGTACAGACCAGCAGAAAATACTGTGCAGGTCACAGACCTGACAAAGACCTTGTATTTAGAATATATAAGAGCAGGGAGCCCAGGCCTGGGTGGCTCAGTTGGTTAAGCGTTCGACTCTGGGTTTTGGCTTGGGTCTGGATCTTGGCTGGGGTTGCGGGATAGAGCCCCATGTCAGGCTCTGTACTGGGCATGAAGCCTGCTTTGAGATTCTGTTTCTCTCCCTCTTCCCCTCCCCACCGCTGCTCACACTGTTACTCACTCTCATTCTCTCTTTAAAAAAAAAAAAAAAAGGAGAAAAAAGCTCTCAAACTCAACGGGAAACACCAAACAATCCACTTAGAAAATGGGCAAAACACATGAACAGGCATTTCACTGAAGAGGACCAACAGCTGGCAAATAAGCGCATGAAAATATGTTCTATGTCATTAGTCATTAGGAAAATAGAAATTAACACCATAGGAAGAGATTATTACACACGTATCAGCGTGGCTAAGATAAAAAAATTGTGACAACATAAAATGTTGGCAAGGATGTGAAGAAACTGGATCACTCGTATGTAATTGGTAGGAATGTAAAATATACATAATACAACATGTGTATGAATGAATATGTAAACATGCATATGAAGGTTCGTAGCAGCTATGTTCATAATAGCCCCCAAACTGGAAACAACCCATTGTCCTTCAGCAGGAAAGACGGTTGAACAAACTCTGGTCCACCCATGCCATGAATACTAGCCAGCAACAGAAAGGATACAGATCGTTAAGCTACAGACATGCACGTCAATCTGAACGACTTGCCAGAGAATTATGCTGAGTGGGAGAAAAAGCTAATCTCTAAAGGTTCTATGCTACACTTTCCATTTATATAGCGTTCCTGAAATAACAACATTGCAGAGATGGAGAACAGATTTCGGGGTTGACAGGGGTCAGGGATGGAAATGTGGGTATGGTGGTAGAGAGGGAGGTTTTGGTGACGGTGGAACAGTTCTGCATCCTAATGGCAGTGGTGGCGACCACACAAATCTACACACGAGGTAAGATTGCGTGCACACACACACACCCAGGAACGCTTGTAAACTGGTGAAATCCGAACAGGTTCTGGATTGCACCAATGTCAATTTTCTGGCTATTGTGTTACTGTACTGGAGTTCTACAAGACGATGCCACTGAGAGAAGGCTGCCTGTGACCTCTCTGTTGGTGTGGTGTTGTTCTTTTATTTCTAGCAACTTCCTGTGCATCTGTAAATATGGACAGGTAACTGCAAGGTTGGAGGGCTTCCTTTTCAGCCCAGAGAGCCAGGACTCCCTTCATGAGCCCCAGGGTTAGTCATAAGGGCCAAAGGAGAAGCTGAAGCCCAGAGACTCTTGTTCTGGGTCTCAGGTGGCAGTGAGGCTATATAAATCAGCCTTCAGGGTTCCCAAGGCAGTGCTTGCCCCTGGGGACTGCTGCTTCTCCTCTGTGGCTGAGTGGGGTGGGGAACACAGGGTATATGCGCAAGAGTTGGGTCTGACTCCAGCCCTCAGCAGCCCTCTCTGGCCCTCCCCATCCCAGGGTTCAGGTGGGCACTGCTCATCATGTGGGACCAGTCCCGGGGGGCAACCCCTCCCAGTAAGGAGCAGGGCGACGGACTAAGAACTGGGTATCTACCTGCTCTATGCACACCAGGTTCCGTAAAGGCTCCTTCCTGAGTCTGGGTAAGACGGTGCCCTATCCTTGCCATGGGGTCTCCCAGTCCAGTACCTTAACTCTACTTCCACAACTGGGCAGCTGGGTATCTGCACAGACTTCCCGTCCCACCTGGGAAACTGGACACTGATAGGGTTGGACCAAGGTTACCAACCCTGGGAGTCAGGGGGAGGAGCGCAAAGACTGTTGAGTTCCTGTGTGTTCTCAGTAAGAATACTGTCCCTCTCTGGGCACCAATGTTCCAGTCGTTGTTGGACTTTGGTCCCTGGGCTTTCCAGAATTCCGGCACCCGGCGTGGGGAGCCGAGGAGGAGGCGCGGCGCGCAGCCACCCCACGCCTGTATCCCTTGGGGGTTGGTGGGGTGGGTGTGTCTGAATCAGCTTCCGGCCCCGCCCCTAGGGCTGCACGTGACCGCAGGTGGCGGCGGCGGGGTGGGCGGGGCTGCATTAGTCACCAGCCCGCCGCCGCCGGTGTGCTCCGCTCCGCCTGCGCGCCTCTCCTTGCCGGCTCTGGCCCGCGCCCGCCCGGTAAGCGAGTCCTGGCCCGCCGCCCCGGATCCTGGGCCCGGCAGCGGCGCTTCCTCGAGCCTCCTCCGGGCAGCCCTCTCGGGTTGCGGGTCCGCAGATTTTAAGACCCCGTGCCCTTCCCGGAAGCCGTCGGAAGGCAGGGCGCCGCCGAGCTGGGCCAGAGGCCACCCGGGTTGTGCCCTGCCTCCCACTCTTGGAAACTTCTGGGAAGTTCCCTGCCTGCCCTGGTTCCTCCCAGAAGTTGCCTAGGACTTTAGGCAGCTCCACAGTTCCTCCGGGATGTGGGTCCCCCGGCCCCTACTGATAGAGGCACACCGCACCCAGGCGTGGGTCCCGCCCCGCCGTCTCGCCCACTGCCGCCCCACCCCCGCCCTGTCGCCCAGTCGCCCCTCCCCGGTCCCGCCTGCACCCTGACCTGACCTCTGCGTTCACTTGGGCTCTCCCGCAGGCTCCCTATGGGCAGAGTCGCTGAGGCACTGGTGGAGCTCCAGAGCGCGCCGGAATTCACGAGCCTGATCTTGCGGAGTTCTCTGTCGCCCGCCCACCCGGCACAAGCGTCGTCCGGGCAGTGGCAACATGGCCTTCTCCCAGGTGCAGTGTCTGGACGACAGCCACGTCAACTGGCGTTCCAGTGAGTCCAAGCCCGAGTTCTTCTACAGCGAGGAGCAGCGGCTGGCCCTGGAGGCCCTGGTGGCCCGTGGCAGGGAGGCTTTCTACGAGGTGCTAAAGCGGGAGAACATTCGGGACTTCCTGTCGGAGCTGGAGCTCAAGCGCATCCTGGAGACCATTGAGGTGTATGACCCAGGCTCTGAGGACCCGAGGGTTGCGGGCAGGCCCCAGGGACCTGAGGATGATGGCGTTGGTGACAGCGAGGAGGCCAGCAGGGCAGGTGGAGATCCCACCGAGGCCCAGCCACTGCCCTCCCTGGAGTACTGGCCCCAGAAGTCTGACCGATCCATCCCGCAGCTGGACCTGGGCTGGCCCGACACCATTGCCTACCGTGGTGTGACCAGGGCCAGCGTCTACATGCAGCCCCCCATCGATGGGCAGGCCCACATCAAAGAGGTAGTGCGGAAGATGATCAGTCAGGCCCAGAAGGTGAGCCAGCTACTGGGTGGGGGTCCCCTGAGAGGAAGCTGGCCCCGTGCGCCTGAGCCAGCCCCCAGCATCTCTGCCATTTTGGTGTGCGTGAACTCACAGCACCAGTACAGAGACCATGACACCATCCCCTGTGGTCTCTTTGCTTCTCCCAGGCTGCCTCTTCCCCTGGCCTCCTGGGGCTCCTCAGTGTCTTTGCGCAGGATTACGGTACCTGGGTCCTGTGGCAGGTGACATGGGTGCCCCATCTCAAGGGGCCTTTGTGCATTGCTGGGGGGGGGGGGCGCGTGTTCTGATTTGCCCCCAAGCCGGCAAGCAGCTTCCCCAGAAGAAAGTGTTGTGATGGGGTGGGGTGGGGAGGAATCTCGGGGTTTTCTCTTACTTACTGTCCCTCGAGATGGCTCTGATTCACACCTGGGAAGCAGGACGCTCCCACACACACCATGAGACACTGGTGTGGCTTTTCTTGGGTGATGGACAGAGTCTGGAGTGGTGCAGGAGGCACGGAGACCAAACACGAGCCTGGGTCCCTTTGAGGCTGGCGTGGAGGTCCCAGTTCAAATGAGTCTATTTCCCGGCTGTGCTGGGCAACCGAGAGTGACTTGCTCGCCCTCTCTGAGCCTCTTTGTGAGCTTTGTGAGGGCAGAATCTTCCCAGGCTGAGATGGTGAAGGGACCTCCAGCGTTGCTTCTTCTTGATCCCAGCTGCGAGGGGCGGTATCCCTGATTTGGATAGTCATTCTCAGCCGACCTGAGGCCAGGCCTGAGCTCAGTAGAGGGTGGTGAGTGGTTAGCAATATCTGTGCTGGTGCAGGTGTTTCTAGCAGACTCTAACCCTTCGCCAGGCCCCGAGTGGGGCAGCGGATCGCTCAAGCCCAGAACGCTGGCCTCGGCGAGCATCCTGGCTGACAGAGCCTGGGGAGACTCATAGGCAGAGAAACCAGAAGTGGGTCAGGAGCTGACAAGGTGACCATGGGTTAGGTTTCTAGAAAGGTGGAGTGCCTGTCCCCCGTGGACAGGCACTCTGACCCTGGCAGAGTCGGAGAGCCTGTGTCTCGGAGCCTGGCCCGCATCCTGTTCCCAGGCAGCTTTGGGGTTCAGGTTTCTGATGTATAAAGTGGAGGGGAGCCTGGGGCTGCGTCTTTGGCTGTTGAGGAGATGGAATCGGGTGACCGGAGTGAGGAAGAGTTTCAGGAAGAGGAGGGAAAGTGGGAGGAGGAAGGGGCCTTCGTGGCTCTTGGGCAGGTATCCTACCCCACACCTGCCAGGGGGTAGGCAGGTGCGGCTGACGTCGTGTCTGATGAGGTTGTGCAGCCTAGTCCTCTGGGAGGGTCTGTTGGGGTCCCTTGACCCCTTTTTTAAAAATGGGGAAACTGAGGCCCGGGGCGGGGCTTGACCTGCTGTGTCAGGGTTCCCTCTCCTCCCCACCAGGAGTAGGAAGGAGACCGACACCAGATCCCTGCTTGGCATGGGAAAGTCCAGCACGTCTAATCTGCCCCAGACAGGAAGACTGATGGCCTGGCCCAGCGATGGGGCACCCGGGGCCAGGCTGGGCACGAGGCATCCCCCCCACATGTCCGCAGCCCGGTCTGAGACCCAGCCATTCCATGCAGTCCCTTGGGCCTCTTGTAACTTCATTTGCTCCCCACAAAAGCCCCACCAGGTTGTTGGCGTTGCCTGTCCAAGGTGACATGGCTGGGGAGAGGTCCATCTCGGGTTGGAACCCTGGTCTGTGTGGTACCCCAGTCAGCGCGGCTCCCTGACCCCTCTGAGAAAGGCAGCTTACTTCTGAGCCTGCCCCCGTGGATGGCAGGGAGCCTCCCAGACCCAGCAGGAGGGTCTAGGGTCTTCCATTTGAGAGCACAGAGAGAGCAGGGACTTGTTTGAACCCCACGGCACCATGGTGAGCCATGCCCCTGCTTCCCATCCTTTGTACTTGCTTGTCACATCCATCCAGGGACCCGAGGCCAGCATAGTGTGTGCGCATGGGTCAGCAGTAATGACAACAGCTACTGGTTTTTGAGCGCGAGGCACTTGGTAATTTCAGATAGTGGGATCTGCCCATTTTCCAGATGTAGAAACTGAGGCCCAACTGGTTCATCTCTGCTGATGTCACCTAGCAAGTTGTTGGGTGGAGGGGTGGGGACCAGACCTGTTGTCACCCTTAGACTCCAAGATGGGTCCCCTGCCCATCCTGGCCTGGACAGAACACAGTGACAGGCAGGGCAGGGAGGGGCAGCCCAGCCACGCTGCCATCAAGCCTCCCATCTGCCCTGCGCCTGCTGCTTCCCAGGCTCCAGCACCGGGCCGTGCTGCTGACGGATGCTGACGGCCCATGCTGACAAGGTGCTTTCCTGGCCTGCCCGCCCGCTGGCACCGGGAGCTCTTCCTGCTTTATCTCTCCCTGTGAATCACATCTTTCCCTTCGCCCTGCATCCTCTTCTGCGCCCCACCAGCAGTAGTGCGGGGAGAACACTCCCCCCTCCCCAGGCCTGGGATAGGGAGCCCGCTGTTCGATTGCCTGACGCGAACACTGACCCCCTGCCAACTGGGCACCTGGGCTGGGGCTGCTGGTGCTGACTCAGGGCAGCCCAGCCCGCCGCCACCTCCTACCCCTGGCCTGTCAGCACGGCAGGCAGACCCTGGGGCCGGGAAGTGACGCAGCACACACTCAGCCCGCCCCAGCGTGGCCGCCAGGGAGCGGCTGTGTTCCCATCAAGGCTGCTGAATTCCTCCCTTTGCCAAAACATGAGAACGAAACTAGTGGGCCCCAGCACTGGGAGCCCAGGGTCCCAGCTCTGCCTCCACCGCTGGGGGACCTAGGACAAGCCCCAGCTGTTTTAAGAGCCCCAGTCATCTCATCTGTAAAATGGGTACAGGCATTGACGATTGGTAAGGGTCCCTTCAGCTCTGACACCCTGTTGCCCTGCGATTCTGGACTCTTCTGGGGGAGGAGACCAGTGGGTTCTGGGTTTAACCGTACTGGCTGTATGGTGCTGGGTAGGGAGCTTGTGCTCTGGGACCCGTCTTCCAGCCCCACAGGGCTCTGAGATGGAACCCCCCACACCCCCCAAGACCCATGATTTACCTGGGGAAAAACCTCCTTCAGGATTGCAGCTGCATACCAGAGGCCGGGCCTGTAGTATCATGCCTAGGAGGGATAAGCCCCAGCCTCGCTCCCCTGCCGCCTCCAGGAGAGAGAGGGGTGAGGCTGGGCTGGGTCCCGGAGGGGGCTGGGGAGGGAGTGCCCCCCACCCCCCATCCACAACCTTGGGGAAAGGCCCCTAGCGGGACCCCTGCACCAACCCCAGACAGTCCAGGGAAGGTCCCAGAGCTGGGGGTGAATCGTGGACAGGCGAGGACACCGAGGGAGCACGAGGGCGAGTGAGTGAGCACGGCTGGACTAGAACCCACTTCTCGGGCCTGCCAGGCCCAGGCTTGGGAACAGAGAGAGCCAGAGAGGTCCAGTGTCTTGCCTCAGGCAGGAGGAGACTGGAAGCAGGTAACCCCACAGTGTTTTCGGTCAGCCCCTGCCTTCACACGCTGACGTCCTGGCTCACGGCTCAGCTTCCAGAGAATAAAAGCAGCTTAATGAGGCGCTCGTTAAATGCCAGCTGTATGCCAGGTGCTGAGCGGGCACTTTACCTGCACCGAGGAGGTGTTGCCTCCTTGGGGTGGATGAGGGACACGAGGCTTGGTGGAGCCCAGAGAGAGCAGGCGCCTTGGAGGAGCCGGGCCCAGAATCTTGGTCTAAGGGCTCCGAGCCCCTTGTCCCCCGACGGGAGTGGCATCTTGGTGTCTTCTCTGGGCCCTGCCCCCAGTGGGAGCATTGGCGCCTTGCTGCTGCCCCCAGCTTGACTCAGGACAGTAAAAGCCCTTTCATGAGGCTCCTTGTCCCCATCAGGCTCCTTGTCCCCATCAGGCTCCTAGCCACCTGGCTCCCCCGAGGGGGCCGGTAGAAGTATGAGCACATCGGGACTGGGGAGAACAGGCCACCTGAAGCTGAGACCCCTGCGGGTCCCCCAGGAGCAGGAGGGAGGGCTCTCGTTTCCCCTGAGCTCGCTGGCACCGAGGCTGTCCCCTAGAGGCCGCGGGAAGGCCCGTTGAGCTTTTTCCAGGGCGTATGCGGCGCTTGCTGGAACCCAGGGGAGCAGCTTGCTGGAACCCAGGGGCCAGGCTCACGCCGCAGAGCCCGGGGAGGGGCTCGTGCCTGCTCCCGCAGTTCCCAGCCCAGGCCCAGGGCCCTCGCCTGCCAGGTGGGGAGCCATCTGATAACATAATCCCAGGTGTCAGCTCCATCCTCTCCAAGGCTTCCTACCCAACAGCGTTTGCATCCTAATTGAGACTTCAGAAGAGCCAGGAGCAGCTCTGCCAGGAAGGAGGGCCCGCAGCTCGGGGCCGGGCGCATGCTGCCTGCCTCTTGCAGCTGGTGCTGGGACAGGCAGCCTCCCCGCTGCTGTCACGGCCCTCCCTCCCGTGACCCTGTTGTCGTATTCATGTCCCAGATGAGGATACTGAGGTTAGGGCACTGAGAGTGGGGGCAGAGCCTGCTGGCCTTCACCTGAGGTTCTCTGGTCTGGCGGGCCTGCATGGCACTCCTGGTCTCCCAGGTTCGCCAAACTCATCCTGAGGCCAAGGGATCTTCCCCCAGGCCAGCAGAAAGGGGCCGGTCCTCTCACAGTCCCCTGGTTCTCCTGTGCGGCGCTGCCACCCCCTTTGCTGCGTAGCCTTGGGCCTCAGTTTCTTCATCTACAAAACGGGGATTGGACACTTGTCTTGCAACAGTAACAGTGGTGAGCGCCCACGAGCTCCTGAGCGATCTGAGGACGCGGAGTGCAGGGCAGGGTCTCACCTCCGCTCCAGGACTCTGCCCTCTGTCCTGCCAGGCTCTGGCCTGCCTCCTTTGTGGCTTCCGAGGGCTCTCCAGGTGTCCTCCCAGGCTAAATGCAGTGCAGGGCGGTGGGAGGAGGGACTTGCAGACCACACAACACAGACCCATGG